ATTTTAATTGTGTTTTTATTAAATACCAGTCATGGGTTACTAATGTTGTTGTTGTTGTTTGGGCTATTAATATGATATTTTGTTCTTGCTGGTTGCAAAGTCACTTCCTACCCAGCACGACTCCATGGACAACATTCCTCCAGGCCTTCCTGTCCTCCTCCATCCCCTGGAGTCCACTCAAGCTCACACTGACTGCCCCAGTGACCCCATCCAGCCACCTCATCCTCTGCCATCCCCTCCTTCTTTTGCCCTCAATACTTCCCAGCATCAGGCTCTTCTCCAGGGAGTCCTTCTCATCAGGTGGCCAAAGTATTTGAGTTTCATCTTCAGGATCTAGCCTTCTAAAGAGCAGGCAGGGTTGATCTCCTCCAGGACTGACCGCTTTGATCGCCTTGTGGTCCAAGGGACTCGCAGGAGTCTCCTCCAGCACCACAATCCAAAGGCCTCAATTCTTCGGCGCTCAGCCTTCCTTATGGTCCAGCTTTCACAGCCATACATCGCCACTGGGAAAACCATTGCCTTGACTATACGCACTTTTGTTGGCAGGGTGATGTCTCTGCTTTTTAGTATGCTGCCTAGATTAGCCATAGCTTTCCTCCCCAGGAGCAAGCGTCTTTTAATTTCTTGGCTGCATTCCCTGTCTGCAGTAATCTTGGAGCCCAGGAAAATAAAATCTGTCACTCCCTCCATTTCTTCCCCATCTATTTGCCAGGAAGTGAGAGGACCGGATGCCATGATCTTAGTTTTCCTAATGTTGAGTTTCAAGCCAATTTTTGCGCTCTCCTCTTTCACCCGCATCAAGAGGCTCCTCAGTTCCTCTTCACTTTCGGCCATTAGAGTATCATCTGCATATCTGAGGTTGTTGATATTTCTCCTGGCAATTTTAATTCCAGCTTGTGATTCATCTAGGCCCACCTTTCTCATGATGTGCCCTGCATGTAAGTTAAATAGGCAGGGTGACAGTATACAGCCTTGCCGAACTCCTTTCTCAATTTTGAACCATTTCATGGTTCCGTGTCCAGGTCTCCCTGTTGCTTCTTGACCCGCATACAGGTTTCTCAAGAGACAAATATGATGGCCTGGTACTCCCATCTATTTAAGAACTTGCCACAATATATAAAGATCCACACAATCAAAGACTTTACCATAGTCAATGAAGCAGAAGTAGTCCCTTTGACCACAAGAAGTAGGAAAAGCTGTAATGGGAAACAATCTCCAAAATGGCAGAATGATCTCGGTTCGAATCCAAGGCAAATCATTCAGCATCACAGGAGTCCAAGTCTGTGCCCCAACCACTGGTGCTGAAGAGGCTGAAGTTAACTGGTTCTATGAAGGCGTACAGCACCTTCCAGAATTAACACCAAAAAATGGTTTCCTCATCATCATGGGGGACTGGAATGCTAAAGTAGGAAGCCAAAAGATAACCGGAATAACAGGCATGTTTGGCCTTGGAGTGCAACATGAAGCAGGGCAAATAAGCCCCCTGCCCCCCAATTTTGACTGGCTGTGGAAACTTTATTAGGGTCGCCTGCAAAAGAATAAAACTCTTCCACTTGGGGATGGTAAATGTGAAGTCATAACAATGGCTCAGTAGGTTCCTCAATAATGCCTTTTAAGGAGCTTTTGAAAATTTCTCCTGCCCTTCAAACCCACTAATTTTACAACATTTTAATACAGCAAAACAACACAGAGAATTATAGGTTAGCAAAAGGAGCCCACAAATAACTGGGCAAATTGCCAGCAACTCTGAAAATGCAATGTAATACTGAAATGTCAATGGCCTAGTAGAACATCCACCTAGCACAGCCTGAATGGCCAGGATACACCAGAGGATTGTCTGTTATTTGAGTTATTCTTTGGCTTCCTACTTTATCATCAGTACTAGACCTCTGCTCTTCCCCAGGAGCACATTTTACATCTAGAAGGTGCTGTAGGCCTTCACAGAACTGGTCAACTTCAGCCTCTTCAGCACCAGTGGTTGGGGCACAGACTTGGACTCCTGGGATGCTGAATGGTTTGCCTTGGATTCAAACTGAGATCACTCTGTCAGTTTAGAGATTGTATTCCAGTACTGCTTTTCCTACTCTTTTCTTGACTATGAAGGCTGCTCCGTTTCTTCTGAGGGATTCTTGCCCGCAGTAGGATACCTGATCGGCATCTGAATTAAATCCACCCATTCCTGTCCATTTTAGTTCACTGATTCCCAAGATGTCGATGTTCAGTCTTGTCGTCTCTTGTTTGACCATGTCCAGCTTGCCTTGATTCATGGATCTTACATTCCAGGTTCCTGTGGAGTATAGATTTTGCAGCATCGGGCTCTCCTTTCACCACCAGACGCATCCAGAGCTGAGTGTCCTTTCGGCTCTGACCCAGTCGCTTCACTCTTCCTGGCGCTACTAGTACTAGCCCTCTTCTCGTCCCCAGGAGCATATTGAACACCTTCCGACCTGAGGGGCTCATCTTCCAGTGTCATATCGTTTTGCCTTTTAGAACAGTCCATGGGGAATTCATGGCAAGGGGACTGGAGTGGGCTGCCATTTCCTTCTGCGGTGGATCACGTTTTGTCCGTGCTCTCTGCTGTGACCTGTCCGCCTTGGGTGCCCCTGCACGAATTAGCTCATCGCTTCATTGCGCTGCACAAGCCCCTTCGCCACGGCAAGGGAGTTACAAAATGGTCCACCAGAGGGCAGCCTCAAGGGGAAACGGTTGGCCTATGGGGGGATCAGGGACTGCCGCTCCCAGGATGGGCCACCGGAGGGCAGCCTCAAGGGTGAAGGATTGGCCCCATGGGGGGATCAGGGACTGCAGCTCCAAGGATGGGCCACCGGAGGGCAGCCTCAATGGGGAAGGTTTGGCCTATGAGGGGATCAGGGACTGCAGCTGCCAGCATGGGTCACCGGAGGGCGGCCCCAAAGGGGAAGGTTTGGCCCTATGATGGGATCAGGGACTGCAGCATCCAGGATGGGCCACCAGAGGGCGGCCTCAAGGGGGAAGGTTTGGCCCCATGGAGGGATCAGGGACTGCAGCTCCCAGGATGGGCCACCGGAGGGCAGCCTCAAGGGGAAAGGGTTGGCCTATGGGGGGATCAGGGACTGCCGCTCCCAGGATGGGCCACCGGAGGGCAGCCTCAAGGGTGAAGGATTGGCCCCATGGTGGGATCAGGGACTGCAGCTTCCAGGATGGGCCACCGGAGGGCGGACTCAAGGGGGAAGGTTTGGCCCCATGGTGGGATCAGGGACTGCAGCTCCCAGGAAGAGCCACCGGAGGGCGGCCTCAAGGGGGAAGGTTTGGCCCCATGGTGGGATCAGGGACTGCAGCTGCCAGGATGGGTCACCGGAGGGCGGCCCCAAAGGGGAAGGTTTGGCCCTGTGATGGGATCAGGGACTGCAGCTTCCAGGATGGGCCACCGGAGGGCAGCCTCAAGGGGAAAGGGTTGGCCTGTGGGGGGATCAGGGACTGCAGCATCCAGGATGGGCCACCGGAGGGCAGCCTCAAGGGGGAAGGATTGGCCCCATGGTGGGATCAGGGACTGCAGCTCCCAGGATGGGCCACCGGAGGGCAGCCACAAGGGGGAAGGATTGGCCCCATGGTGGGATCAGGGACTGCAGCTCCCAGGATGGGCCACCGGAGGGCGGCCTCAAGGGGGAAGGTTTGGCCCTGTGATGGTATGTTGCCTCTGCACGGCGGAGCTCATCGCTTCTTTGATCTGCACTAGCCCCTTCACCACGGAAAGGCAGCGTTTAAGAAAGGCGTGTGTATTTAGAAACCTTAACCCCTTAGGCCCCCCTCCGGTGGCCCATCCTGGGAGCTGCAGTCCCTGATCCCATCATCCCATTCATGGATCACTGGCTTGACGTCGTAAGCCCCTTCACCACAGCAAGACAGTGATCCATGAAGGAGAATATGATATTTTACATTGTTGTATTTATTGAACCATTGTTGTAAGCCATCCAGAGATGCGTAGTGATTGAATGGGTTAGAAATATCCCAAATAAATAAATAAATCCTGACAGTTAGGACCCTGAGGGTATGGACTTGGCTTCCCCAGGAGGGGGTTGAGGCCCCATTGGTGAGGGTGTTTAAGGATAGGCTGGACGTCCACATGGTGGGCCTGTCGTGAGCGGAGCTGGCTGGAGCCGGTGGTCAGACTAGATGGCCCAGGAGGCCACTCCTGACTCGCTCGGTTTATATGTTTCTCTGAGCAGAGCCGGCTGGAGGCAGGGTCAGACTAGATGGCCCAAGAGACCCCTTCTGCCTTTGTATGTTAATTTCACAGGGATGGGGGGACAGCCGGTTCTCTCCTACATGGCTGGGTGTTTGACAGTCCATACCCCCTGGAGCAGGTGGGTTCAGGAAGCCAAGGTTTCTGCTCGCATCTCCGGAACTCCCTCCCCCATCTAGAGCCCCCAGGTGCCTTGGAGGGCTGGCCCTATTATCCCAAGCAACTGGCCATGCTGATCCGGGTTGATGGGAGCCGGAGTCCGACAGCCAGGTCTGGAGCACCTGCCTCTGGCGGGCTGGCTTTGCCGCTGCTGCCTCCACGATGGGCTCAGCACACCTGTCTGGGCAGAGGCCCGGAGAAGGCAACTGCCAAAACTCTGCCCCCCACCAGTGCCCCACAGCACAATCCTTTAAGCCCCCTGCATGGGCCCTCGGCCACGCCTCCCTCCTCCCGCCTGATCCCGGCTCAAAGGTCACATGCAAAAGTTACATAACGGGCCTACCCCCATTTCCGCAGAATGGCCATCCGAGTAATAAATCCGGCAGTCACAAGCGCTGCCCTGCCGTAACCCAGGACAGTTCCCTGCTTTTCCCGACTCCCAGAAAAGGGCGGTCAGGCGGTCTAGGGTTTGGATGCCCCCTTGGCCCTGAAGTGGGGGCGCGCCTGGGCCAAACCAACTCCCACAAGCAGCTCGCGAAGGCCGAGAGCTGGGAGGTGGAAAGGCTGAGCGCAAGGTGTGCCGGTCGAGCTGTCGCCCTCCCCAAAGTTCACCCGCTGGAAAGGCAGCTTAATCTGCTGAAACGGGAGCGGCACGTGTGGATGGGGGCCACCCCAGCCAGCTGCTCTTCCACCACGCTCGCTCGCTCGCTGCATGCCGCGAGAAAGGAGGGGATGAGCCGTCCTGGGTTTTAGGCAGACGAAGCACCTCAAGCAGGCTGGAGCGAAAGCCCTTTCCAAACGAAAGTAGGGTGCTAGTCCTCATGATAAAGAGCAGGCTGAGAAAGAGAACTGCCTCCTGGTCTTCCATCCGGCCCGGCGTGTCTGCAGGTGGCTGCCCCAGCCTGACCCGGAGGTGCCACGGGGGGAACGCTGGACTCCCCGCATGCACTCTGTGCTGCTGGACTTTTTCCTTGAAGACAACACGCTTCCCGTCCCGCAAGAGTCTCGGGGGTTCCCTCCCGCTGGGCCAGCCCCTCACTCCATCGAGCTTGCAGTGCTGGCTGTGACTCCCTGGGCTGCAGGAAGGCCTTCTTTCCAGCCCTACCTGAAGATGCTGCTGGGAGCAAACCTGGGTCCTTCCTGCATGCAAGACAAGATGCCACAGCTCTGCCCCTAACAAATAAAGCAGGATCCTAGTCCTCATTGTTCCGGATCAGGATTTGAACAGGCGTGGCTAACCCAGAAGCATCAACACCGGAGCAGTGGCCTTTTCTTAGCCGTACGTGGAGAGTCTGCCCAGATCCGGCAGACAGAGCTGTTGTGACCATTTTGTCAGACACACACACGGACACACACGCATCCGCAGACGCAAAGACGTTTGGCTACCTGACCCTCTTGCACCGAGTTGAAATGCCAACATTTTAATCCTTCTGATGCAAATAGAAAAATTCGGAATCATTAGTCAAAAGGCACATTTTCAACAACAAAAAGAAAAGAACCTCCCCCCACCCCCCCGGCCCCATGACTGTTGTTGCTTATTGGGGAAGGTTTTTCTTTTCTTTTCTTTTTTTTTTTACATATATACAGTTCCAATTATAAATATGCATAGAAAAAAAAATAAGCAGATGAAGGAAATGGTTAGAAAGTGCCAACACAGGAAAGGAGAAGAGGGGGATATTTTTCCATTAAAATACATACAATCAAATAGACCAAACAGAGTAATAATTTAGTTTAAAAAGTAGCTATTACATGTAATCATAGTAAGTTCTAATTTTCCTGACTAGAAAATGGAGGAAGGAACATAGTGGGAAAGGAAGCTGCATATATTTCTTCTTTAATTAAAACAATTGTAAAGTAACCACATATGACTTTTGAGGATATTAGGGGAAATCTCAGGGATGTGGACCCAGCCAAGGCCACCTTCTGATCGGCTTTCCTGAGTTTTAACCTTTTTCATTCTCCTGCTGCTACAATCCACTAACCAATTAAAAAGCAGAAGACCTGGATTTGTTATGGCTACTATAATATTTAATTCTAGCATCAACAGGCAAAGTGCCAGGCTGTTACGAAGCTGTGGAAATACCGTGGGTCCCTGCCCCAGGGGGCTTACAAAACGGGATGAAAATTCTGCTCCGTAAAGGGAAACGGAATCAATCTTTGCCTGCCTGCATTATACAAACAGCATATTTGCATAGTTTCTTTATTTTTAACTTATTTGCACACCCCTTCTGGACACGCAACGGGGGAAAAGGACCCTCCCTCCCCTCCCTCTTCATTCTTCTTTCACTCAGTCACACGCGCATAGGTTCTGTTTGCCCTTGGGAGCATTAAAATTATAAGGACCAGAACCTAGTTTTTCCTTCAAAAACAAATGGCTTGGGGGGGGGGGGCTGCTTCTCAGAATACATTCCAAGTACCAAAATTCCACACTGGTGGTTTTTGAATTTGTGCAATATGTACCTGAGGTCTGTGTTAAGTGGCAAGGAAAAAGCAGGGCTGATATAAAACAGGGCCCCCGAGACTGAAATGGAAATACCAGGCATTAGAAAAGAGTTAGCGCAAGGTCTGCAAACTGGAGGTGTAGACTGCAGAGATCAACCACCAGTAAGATTTGCCGGAGCAGGTGGGGGCTAGGTCAGAAAAATGCCCATTTAGAGGAAAATTTCGAAACTAAGTTGTAAATTAGCTGTTTAAAAATATAAAAACCAAGAACGTGAAAGGCAGTGCCGTGTCAGAAGGCGGCCTGCCTCCTCAGGCAGACATGGCACTATGTGGCATCCGCTCCCTGAACCTGTTGGCCGGGGAAGGCGTATCTGGGCTGCCTTCTCGGCTCAGCTGCCACGGGGGGCGATTTCGGGGCCAGGGGGCCGGGAGGGAGGGTCAGCCGCTGCTGGTCAGGCCTGAGACCAGCGGGCCGGAAGCCCCGCCTGCCCCCCGGCCTGGCTGCACCGGCTGGCGGCTCTGCGCGCAGCTCCCCTCCTTTGGAACGAAGCCCCCGGATCAGGCCGCAAGCTGAGAGGCATCCGTCCGCTGGAGCCAGTCCTGGGGGGGAGGGAAGCTAGACCTTCCCTCTGCATGTTGGTCCCCCCAAATCTAAGCTGGGGGGGAGCCATTTCTGAAGGACTTCAGAGTGAAGGTCTGAGCCACCAGGGTGGGGTGCTGAGCTTTGTCTAGGGTGAAAGTCTGTGGGGCAGGAGCCGCCGCCCAGGGACTACAAACAACAGACCCTCCCCTGTACGGTCTGGTAACCTCTCCTGAAAGCTGGCAGAAAACTCCCAACTTTATTTGGCTTTGTGAGCCTCTTGGAAAATGCCCCGCACCACACACACACACACACACACACACACACACTCAAACTCACACTCACACTCACAGAGTGATGGATCACTTCGCTAAGAGCCACCCTGTCCAAAACGGTGCGCTCGGAGAAGAGGCTCAAAATGCACCTGACAGCGTTGAGTAATCACCCAAACCACTGGGACATTCCAGCTTCTGAAATGCTGCCACCTGTTTTTCCCTACTTCCATGAGGTCTAGAAACTTTGGGATTCCCTCCCCCTGCCCTATCTGCACTGAAACCAGTAGAAAAGAATGCATGGATTCCAGATCACAGCAAGTCACTACGTACCCCTCTCGGGCAAGCCCACCAAAATCCCAGGCCTGCCTTCCACCCTGCGGCGGCGCTCCAGAGGAGATGGAGTGCAGTTCCCATCATTCCCCAACCAGCCTATCTGAAGGACACTGCATGGGGAAGGCAGACCAAGATAACGGCCACAAAACACTCCCTGCTGTCACGGATTCGAATCGTGCTCCCCCCATCCAGCCGGAGAGAAAGGGGGTGGAGGAAGGTAAGGAGCACCCAGTTTTCCAAACTCAGTAGTTTGCCTCAGGGCAAGGCGGGGGGGCGTGTGGGGTGAGAGGAAGGGGCAGGCCGGGGGGGCTATAAGGTGCCGGTGCCTCCCGCCCAGGTCGGTGTCCCACCTCCACTCCACCTTGTACATAATGCATCTATATATAGAGAGATAGATAGAGAGATATATATAAAAATTTAGTACAGATGTTGACCGTATATTATATATAAATAGACTTTGTTTTCATTAACTAAGGTTTTCTCTGCCCATCCCTGTTAAAAAGGTAGAAGTGGTCCATTGCAAGCAGGTTCTTAAAAAAACGCACGCCCACGACGTCCGGTCCAAAGAGGGTTCTGCTCGCCCCGCCGAGGCCGGCGCGTCCTAGAGGTTTGAGAAGGGGCCGGAGGCAAACTGGATCACGCTGGGGTGCCCGTGTGGGGGGTGGGCGGTGTCCTCGGGCCCCACGTTGAGCAAGCTCAGCATCTCCTCCAGGACCTCCCGGTAGTTCACGGTGGACGAGGAGAAGCCGTCCGGGGCGGGCAGGGCAGGCCCCGCGTGCTCCCGCTGCGAGGTGGGGCCGAGAGACATGCCCGCCGCCAGGCCGGTGGCGCTGTAGAAGCCGCAGTGGAGGGGCGGCTGCGGGGGGGGCGCCTCGGTCCAGAACTCCGGGAGAGGGGGGCTGTAGGTCAGGTCCAAGACCTCGTCCTGCTGGGGGGGCGGGAAGGCCGTGCCCCCCGAGGTCTGGCTGAGGTCCAGCGGGGGCAGCAGAGGGTACGGCAGGCTGGGATGTGCCGTGGCTGCTGCCAGCGTTTGGCTCCGCTTCTGCTTGACGCTCTCGTCCATCTGCTTCAGCTCCTTCAGGACCTGTGGGACGCAGCACTCGGGGATCTTGATGCCTGGCGAGGCGGGAGAAAAGGTCAGACTAGATGGCCCGGGAAGCCCCTTCTGACTCGCTCTGCTTCTATGTTTCTCCGAGCGGAGAGGGCTGGAGCTGGGGTCAGACTAGATGGCCCGGGAGACCCCTTCTGACTCGCTCTGCTTCTATGTTTCTCTGAGCGGAGAGGGCTGGAGCTGGGGTCAGACTAGATGGCCTGGGAGGCCCCTTCTGACTCGCTCTGCTTCTATGTTTCTCTGAGCGGAGAGGGCTGGAGCTGGGGTCAGACTAGATGGCCTGGGAGGCCCCTTCTGACTCGCTCTGCTTCTATGTTTCTCTGAGCGGAGAGGGCTGGAGCTGGGGTCAGACTAGATGGCCTGGGAGGCCCCTTCTGACTCGCTCTGCTTCTATGTTTCTCCGAGCGGAGAGGGCTGCAGCTGGGGTCAGACTAGATGGCCCGGGAGACCCCTTCTGACTCGCTCTGTTTCTATGTTTCTAAAAGGCCGAGTAAGCCCCGCGCACAGCCCGGCTCGGGGACTCTGCCGCGCGGCCCGCTCTGCAGGAGCCTGGAGATGCCCAGGAAAACGAGCCAGAGAAACAGCCCAGCGCCTCCAAAGCTGGTGCTGCAGAGAGAGCTGTGACGCCCTCCTTCCTTCTCCTTCCCCATCCCTTCTTCCTTGTGTGCCATGTCTTTTCAACACAGAAGCCTTCTGGCCGGAAGGGCCTAGCTGGACGGATTCTATGCAAGCCATTCCAGGAATCTTTCCGGCTGGGAGGCAAGATTCACTGACTTGATTATTTAAGAATGCAGGCTGCAGAACTGCATCACGGTGGCCTGGCACAGACTCTCCCTCCAGTTCCCCCCAGCACCGCGCAGAAAGTACACCTCCCAGCACCGGGACTGAGAAGCGATGCCGGGGTTCGCGCCTTGGCGGGCCGCCGGGGCCCCCCCGGCCTGGGCTGACGAGCGGGGCGGGAACGCCGGCCTCGCGGGGCTCACCGACTTGCTTCCTCTTCTCTTTGGTCTTGAGGCGCACGATCTGCAGGTGGCTGCTGTTGGTGATGTCGGCGATGGTGCTGGCGATCCGGCTCCAGACGCGCAGCAGAGACCCGCACAGCATGTGGTAGTGGCGCAGGCGTGTGCCCTGGAAGCACTCCTTGCCGTCCTGCACCGCCTTGCAGTGCCCGGTCCTGGGCGGAGGGAGGGAGGGAGGGAGGGAGGGAGGCGTGGCCGTCACGGGGGCTCTGCTCCACCCTGGCCGCCCAGGACCCACCCGCCAGCGCCACGTGCTGGGGAAGGGCTGGGCATGTTGCATCGCCCCGGCGGCGAGAAGCCGGGCTCGCTCACCCACGGCGTGGCCCCCCGGGTTGTTTAATTGCACGACGTCATTCCAGGCGAGGCACAGATACGGGGCGATAGTGGGTCCCCCAGTCAGGCTGCCGAGCGCACCCGAGGCCTTTTGGCGCTGCGTGCCGAGACCACACTTCCGTGAAGGTGTGTGGGACCCCAGGGGCAAGAGGGAGGGGAGCGAAGGACGAGCAGGCAGACGGGGTTCCACCTGCCAGGCATGCCCAGGCAGGTCCAGCAGGGCGTGGGTTGTTGGTGTTGCGGGTGCGCCAGGTTCCTGAGCTGGGCGGCCCAAGGGTCCGACTCGAAATGCCGCTTCAGAGGCACTTCTTCCCCACCCAAAGTCTTCTGGACACAGACCACATTCCCCTCCTCGTCTAGGGCAGAAGCCCCCGTCCCCGCGGTCGCTGTTCACCTACCACACGGCGTGGTTGCAGTGCTGCATGGAAAAGGAGTAGCTGTGCTCCCAGTGCTTCTGGGCCACCTCTGGCGGGACCTGAAGAAAAGAAGGGCGGGGGGCGGGGTGGAATGGTTATTTTATTTATTTTGGATGGGTTTTATTTCTCGTCTGTCAAATAGCAGAAGCTCCCCGTGTGGTCTGCAGCGGACCAAGAAAAACACGACAGAAAACGTACAAATCTCCATAGAAGACCCCAAAAATCATCCTCCAAAATTGAAAGACCAAGTTTCATGACTACGGTAACGAACGCAGAACTAGATACAAGCCCCGCGAGGCCCTAAAGACAGACTCTCTAGGGCGCTTTAATGCCCCGCCATGAAGGACAGTCTTAACCTGGTGCCAAAAGGATGGCAGAGCTGGGCCCCAGGAAGGCCTCAGCGGGGAGCTTGTTCCCTAACCGGGGGCTGCCACCAAGAAGGCCCTGCTTGCGGTGGCAATCAAAGGCAGGCCCTGATCCTGATTCGCACTGTCCAGGGAGGCCACAGCTGCAAGAGATCTCCCTCATGCGTCAGACTCTCAACCTTGGGAGCAAACCGGCAGCCCATGCGAGTGGGCCGACTGAGAGCTGTGCCTTGGACTTTCTGCTCCCGCTTCTTCCTCTGGCTGCCACTTTCCTGGAAAAGAGAACGCACTGCCGCCTTTTCGGCCCGGCCTTACCCGCTGGTACTTCCGCAGGAGCTTCTCCAAGCTCTCCCCCTGGCTGTGCTTGCCAATGTTCGGCTTGTAGAGGGTGAAATGCTTCCCGTGCGTCTGTTCGGCCAGGAGGCAGGTGTACATGTTGCCTCGGACCTGCAAGGGGGCAAGGTTTTCCATCAAAGTCCTGACGGGCGACTTTGCAACGATAAAGACGATGCACTTGCCGTTCGCTTGTTTTCCTCTTCCCTCCCCACCCCATTTCCTCTTATATCCGTTTTGTGGATTGTAAATCCCAGAGGCCAAGGATTGGGTTCTTCCCTGCCCTTAACCTTTGTACACAAAACCGAAATCTAAGGCAGAACACACAAGCTCGCAGTCACAGAGAGTCACCTCAGTTTTCCCAGGGGGGATCCTTCAGTGGCCAAAACGGGGGAGATGCACCGAACGGGCACAGCCTTGTGTTTTGCCAAAGCAGATATAAAAATGTGAGGGGGAAACGCACATGAGGGGCTGCCTGAAAAGTCTGGCCAAGCCCATCCTTCGCTCATCACGGCCTCCATACCCTCCCTGACCTTTCTGCTCTCGTGGGGCCCTGCTCGTCTCCCTGTTACCGTCACAACAACCCTGCGAGGTGGGGAGGCTCAGAGCCAGGGATGGTCTGACATTTCATTTATTTATTTATTTATTTATTAAAACATTTTTATGCCGCCCCATTCGCCGAAGTCTCAGGGCGGCTTACAACAATAAATAAAACCACAAAAATTAAAATATACATGTAGAATAATAATAATAATTTAAAACACACAATATAAAATAAGCCGCCCTGGCCAGATAAAATTCAGTAGTATTAACATTTAAAATGTTGCTTAAATAAAAAGGTCTTTGCCTGGCGCCGAAAAACAAATAACAACATCACCCGGGGAGCTTCCTGCCCGAGGGGGGACCCACCCACAGGGCCCCGGGTCCAGTCCAGCGATCTCGCCACTGGCCTGGCAGGCCGCCTACCTGGGTGCCATGGGGGGAGACAGTTCTCCAGCGACACCCGGACTGCCATTCTCGCCCCACCTGGGCCGGCTGGAAGCAGCGGCACTGCCCCAGTCCGCCCCCCACCCCACACACACAGGAGGCCTCACCTTATGGGAAAGGTAGAACCCGTCATTGGCGCCCGTCAGCTGAAGCGACTTCGCGAAGGCCTCCTCCCACTTCAGGCCTCTGTCGACGCTGATCTGAAGGGGGGAACGAAGCCACTGGAAGGGCGGCTGGGGCGTCTTCGTGCCCCTGCAGCCCTGCCCCTCGGCCGGGACCACGCACCCCGTGGGCTGCGAAAAGGCAGCTCAGCGTGCCCTCACCTTGTAAAAGACCACCTGCCCGTCCTGGGGGTGTCCAGGAGTCAGGAAAACCTCTTTGCTCTCCTCATAGATCTCATCAATGCCGGGAGCCAGGTCTACGACGGGGGGAGTGGGGAGAAGGACAGAGTGTGGGGAGCCGTGCTGAGCTTCGATCCCAGCAGAACAGCCGCTGAGAACCCCCCGAGAGATGCGGGGGGCTCCCAACTCTGCCTGCGCCCTCCTCAAGTCAAAACTCCCCCCAGAACGTGGCAGAAGCAGGGAAGGCCAGACAGGAGGAGTGGGGGGAGAGGCGGGGGGTCCCCCCTTTGACGAGGCCCTTCGCGGTCCCTTCAGGGGTCCGCCGCCTGGGACGGCTCTGCCCCTTACCCAGAATCCCCATGTCGTATTTGCCATCCTTCTTGTCCTTGTCGATCAGGTAGTCGAAGGTGTCGCTGAAGTACTGGAAAAGCAGGTTCTGCGTGTGGACCTCCAGGCCCAAGATGCGGTTCAGGAACTTGCTGATGGAACAGTCTGCGAGGGCAAGCAGATGCGAAGCCGGGCCGCCACTTAGCCGCTCCCCCGTGCCGGATCGCTGGGCTCCCGGCCGGACGGCAGGAACCCTCACCCTCCGCAGACCTAACAGAGGCGGGTTTGGGGGAAGGCCGGGGGAGGGTCGCAACGCACCTTTCTCCACGGTGATGATGCCGTACCGCAACTCCCTGCAGCAAATCCCGACGGAAAGCAGATTCTGCTGCATGTCTGGAAGTGCCAAAGCGGGGAAGGGGGAGGAAGAGGGGGAGGGACAGCGTCACTCACCCGGCCGTCGGCCCATCAGCGCGGGCACAGGCATTAGCGGGAAGGGGCTGCTGACAGGTCAAGCCGGCGCTGGGAAGCAAGCAGGGCACTCGGCCCGCTTTGGGCTGCCTCGCGCCCTCCTGGTGAGGCAGGAAGAGGGGCACCTGGCCTGTACCTGCCTCGCAGGTCACCTGTGTTCGGGTCAAAGGCTTGGGCGGATGTTGGGGGTCCTCTTGTGAGCCTGTGCTCCAGGAGGACTCGGTACGACATGCAACCACGTCACCCCGGTGTGAGGCAGCTGGGAGGCCCCCCTCTGCCTGGCCACGGCCAGTTTTCCCACCAGGAACCTCGCGGCACAGCCCTCGACCGCAGCACCCGTCTCCTGCTTTCTGCACGTGGCTCCCCTGGCCCCGCTCCCCTCGGCGCTCCTTACCCTGGAAGAAAGCGGCTTCTCCCCCCCGGTAGCCCCTCGGCACCGGGACTTTGTTCTCCGACTGCTTGAGGATGGTGAACAGGACCTTGTCGAGGGCTCTGGACCCATACTGGGAGGGGCGGAAGAAAGGGGCGTCAAGGGCGTGCCCCCCCGAGGCTGCGGATCGCTCGGCCACGGCAGCCCACGCCACGCGCACTGGCAAGTTTCTGCTGCCGGAAAACTCGAGGAGGCCAGATTCTGCCTTGCTCCGTTTCTTCCCCAGCAGTTGGTACGGGGCATAATTTGCATCGCACTGAAAGTCGGGCGGGGTGGGCGGGGGCTCTCAAACACCAGGCCGTCACTCGCCCGGTCTTGGCTTAACAACTCACCTTATTTTCAAAGTTGTACTTGCTGAGGTCCCTGGATTCAGTCGCTCGCCGGTCTCCGTGAGTTAAGGCACCCTGTTCAGACCACGGGCAGGAAAAAGCGGGGAAACGGGTCCGTGAGAATTCCGGGGAGAAGGGCTGCTCTGCTTCCTCCGGCAGCCTTTCCCATCACGACCGCCCTCCAGATGCGCCGACTGCAGCCGTCCGCACCCCCTCCTGCCCCGCTTTCAAGGGCTCTGCGGTCCTGTGGAACGGGGTTTGTCCGGCGGATCTGGAGGGCGACTGGGCTGGGGCAGGCCGAGCCACGTCCCCCACGCGTGTAGCCCCGGCAAGCAAAGCCGCCCACGGGCTTGCCAGAGGTGGGACTGGAAGAGCGAACTTCGTGCCAGCCAAGCTAAACCAGTGCTTCCAGAGGCCGTGTGTCTCCAGGCCAGGCTCTGGTGACACGTGCCAGGAAGGGACGCCTCTGCCAATGGGCTGGGGATGAGGGGCATTGTAGTCCAACCTATCTGGAGGCTGCAAGGCTCTACACTGATGCTAGATCGGGGAACTGCAGCAATTTGGCAAATGTTGCCCCCAGAACCTTTGCACTGATTGGAAGCACTGCTGCCGGGGGGGGGGGGGCCATGTTGCTGTGGGAGGGGGACCGTCATCTTTGTCTTGCTGATGGGGGAGGAGGGGTGGCGGAGAAGGAGGCAGTGAGCATTTTGGAAATCGCCCTTAGGAGAAAGGCAGAAAAGCTTACGAGGCTTTCCAGGCGCTTGGCCACGATGGAAGCGAACCGGCGCTCGCCGGCCAGCTCGGAGATGAGGAAGATGTACTCTGGAGCGGACACTTGGTTGGACCGGTGCGTGCGACCTGGAACAAAGATCCACAAGGGCGCAGGTTGTTTCTCACCTGGACAGCAAGGAGGAAAGGGCCAAAGACCTCGGCGCAGGGCCATCTTCCCAAGCAAGCGTCCTCCAGGTGTGTTGGTTGCCTGGGGATGCTGGGAATTGCAGTCCAACCCATGGGGAAGGAAGTCTGAGAAGGGCACCCCTCACCATTTACTCTCGCTTGTTTATTTAGATCATCCACATTCAGGGGCCTGTTAATTTCGCCTCTTAATTTGAGCTTTGGGGGAGGCCATCCTGCATCCAGGGATCGATCGATCAATCAACAGACTGACTGACATATCTGTGTGCTTTCCTATCGCCCAACAACTGAGGTTCTCTGAGCAGTGTTCTAGGAGTGCACAGTACAGGCAGAATGATGTGGGCAGGTGGAAAAGGGCAGCCAGGAAACTCAGGGACTCTGCTCTGCCCTGGATGAGACCAGCCTGGTGTGCAGAAGGGAAGACCGACAAACTGCGGAGCCATTTAGAGCTAAACGCTTAACTCGGCAATCCATTTTACTCTTGGCATCCATTTATGATTACTGCTACTGATGAGGGCAGAAGCCAGAGCGTTTAGCTTCACGTATATCTGCAAGAAGTGCCAGTAAATTATGCAGAGCTGTTTAAATGCTATACTATATTCTCTCTGTCAGCATTTTGCTTCTGGCTTTACTAACCGAGGTTGATGTGGGTCACTCCCCACCATTGGAATCTTACTTAGCCGCCCTCCTCTGGCTTTGGCAATTCCAGCATTCATTGCATAAGGACTAGAAACTTACTTTTAAGAGTACCAACAAAGCAAACTTAGGCTCTGAGGCTGCTGAATTTGAGCTGCCCGCTATATCGGCAGCAGAGGCCCTTCTCCGGGAGCCCTCCGTGAAAGACATTAGGAGGCAAAGTACCCGGAGGAGGGCCTTCTCTGCGGTGGCGTCCCGTCTGTGGAATGTGCTCCCCAGAGAGGTCCGCCTGGCGCCATCATTATTTGTTTTTCGGCACCAGGCCAAGACTTTTTTATTTAAACAATATTTTAATTGATGATTCTATTTATTGATTTTATATTTATGGCAGGATGTCTCTAGTTTTTTCATGTATTTTTTATGTATTTGTATTGCTATTTATTTGTGTTGGAAGTCACCCCGAGGCTTCTGCGAATGGGGTGGCATATAAGTGTTCCAAATAAATAAAAAAATAAAAAAATATTTTTTCAGAGGCTTCTGGCTCCCAGTCTGCAAACTTGGGGGAGTTGGCTTCGAGGCCTTCTTTCGCTGCTCACCAAACTGCTGTATCGCTCGGTCTGCGCTCCAAGGAAGCTCCAACGTCATGTGGACACGCCGCTTTTGATTCTTTACCCGTCTGTCCGCTTGGAGAGAGATCCCTGAGCTGGAGGCCTCGGAGATTATTGCTACGAGCTGAGGGGGAGAACGGGCCCGTGAAAACGCTTGCACAACCGCTATTCCAGGAAGCTCAAGGCCAGTGGCCTTTTACAACAGTGTAAATTTCGGATTACATGCTGCTTTTCCTCTGGAATGGCTCAAAAAGAATAAAAGTGGTAGAGTGGTGCAGTGGGCAGAGCTGTGAATGGTGGATTGTGACCGGGTGGCCGTGGAGCTCGCGGGGGGACTTTGGGCCAGTCACAGACTCTTGGCCTGGCCTACCTCGCAGAGTTTCTGTGAGGACAAAGCGGAGGCCACTTAATAAGCTGTCTTGAGCTCCCCGCAAGCAAAAAGAGGTGGGATATGAATCTGAGAACAAGCAAATGCACCGTCTGGGGGTTCTCCTGACCCCCTTCCTGCCTGTTTGGGTCCCGCATTCGCTTAGGAGAACACCTGCGTGCTCCCCAAGGTTTTAGCGGTCCAGTCAATGGTTTCGTTTCTGGAGGGCCACGACCCTGGACTTCTCACAGCTACAAATTAGACAGATGCCAATCCTCGCAAGTTTTAGGCACCACGCTTGTCCGGGAAGATTATATTCTCCTCTCCTGACAGGAATGACGCCTTGAGCCGCCCGGTTTGGTGGATCTTTTCAAAACTGGCGTCAGCGATTCTTACACATCATTAAATGGATGGGAAGGGGTGGGGTGGGCCCAAGGCAGGACCGCTGGCCTCGTCCGATTCCTGAGCGGGGGTCTTGAGGCTGCCCTCCTCCTGCAGGCTCCTATCAGCCCCCAACCCCACCGGGACCCCCTGGAGCTCACCTTGTCCCCGTTCATGAAGCGCTCCTTTTCCTTGAGGTTCACGTGGTCGATGGAAAGCCCTTGCTCGGCCCGCGACTCGAACGCCACGGAGCCGTCCTGCTGTCGCACCACACGCCCCTTCCGCCCAGTCATCTGCGTTGAGGGTGGGAGAGAGAGGGAAAACAGGTACTCAGCATTTCGGCGAAGGATTTGGGGCTGGCATGGGGAGGCCGGACTTCTCTCGCAGGCCACGATTCACCAGAACTCTCCCTTGGTGCAAGGTTAGAACTTGGGACCCTTGAGGACTCAGCCAGAGCTTAACCGCCCCGGCGTTGCGAGGTATGTGGGAGAGGAGTCCCCGTGCTTCGTGGCAAGGGAGACGCTCTGTCCGCACGCAAAGCGCCGCGGAGGGGGCTGTTCCTTGCCTCGCCCCAGAGGAACAACAGGCCGGAAGATCCCGCAGCCTCACAGGAGGGCACCCGCTGTTTCTCTGCATGAGTCACCACAGAGTCTCATCGGGGTCAGAGCTCTTTCGGCCGGGGGTGGGGGGAGAGGGGCAACTGGGCCAGACTGCAGATGGAAGGAAGCACTAAAGGCCAGCAAATTACTTGGTCTCTGAAACGCTGTTGCTGCATTTCACTGCCAGGGATGAGGAGAGGCGTTTATGGAACCGTCTGCCTCCCACCCCAGAACGGCTCGACTGCCTTCAGGGGCTCAGCGCCTTGACTTGGGGAGGGGCACCCACCTCAGCCCGCACCTACCGGGGCTGGCAACCAACCCTATCGTGCCTTTTGGGGAAGGCCAGTCTGGCAGCCAACATGCAGCCCCCACCCCTGTGGCCCCCCACCCCAGCAGCCCACCTCCGCCACATGTTCCGGGCCGCCAAAGTAATCAATCAACTCGTCCAAGGTGTTCAGAGGTAGCTCTTTGCCCAGTGCCTTCACTTTCGACAGGAGGTCCAGCTTCAGCATCTCGACCTTCTCCAGTGCCGAGCTTTGCGTGAACACGTAGCCTAGCAGAGGGGAGGAAGGAAGCCGCGTCGAACTCGCTGCTACTCGGCTTTGCACGGGCAGTGCGCGAAACACACCAGCCTTGGGGCAGGCAGCTGCTCCGGGGCAGCCCAGGTTTTGTTCCCCCCCAGTGCTGCCCCCTAAAGCCAGAACTCCACAGCTGCCCCACGAGCACAAAGCTGTGGCCAGCAAGGCTGCCCCGCCTGGCCGTTCCTGGCTCCTGCCGGGGCTCCCCGCAGGCCTGTGTTCCCCAGTCGGGACTACAGCTCCCAGCATCCTCCCTCTGGCACGGCAGATGCCGGGCAGGAGCGGCAGTCCTGGGGGCTCTCCAGATGAGCCACGCTCCTTCCCCACTGCAGCCCGTGGGGCACCTTCCCTGTTGCCGCATCGGGGCCGTCTGGAAGAGCCCCGCACGGCAATCATGGGTGTCTGGGCCCCACTCCACCCGCTCACCCTGGGATGCGGCCTCAGAAAGCCCCCCCAAGAGCCCCCCCAAAACGGGTGTCTTCCCCACAGCCTGGACACCCCCCTCAGCTTCCAGAGCAGCCCGCTGGATGCCTCCGAGCGGCACGAGTCCAGGGCTATGGCGGAGGGGTTCCGCGTGCGGCCCGGCCCCCCATTGCCCCCACCTCGGTCATCCCCCACAAAACCGTTGAGCGGGGTGGGGGTGGTGCCGACGAAGATCACGTCCTCGCTCTCGATGACGGACTCCGGCGAGGAGTTGAAGTCGCTTTCCAGGCCCGGCTCGGAGTCCGAGCTGCTGTCGGAGCTGATCCGGATGACGCCGCAGGCGCTGACGGGGTCGTGGGCCGCCCTGGGCACCTTGGCGAGGCAGCGCACCTTCTGCTTCCCTGCGGAGAAACCAGAAAGGCCACCGGGGGCCGTCAGCCGGGGGTGGGCAGCTGGCGAGGGGCGCAAGGGTGGATCAGGAAGACGGCACGAAAAGCAACCCCTTTACCCATCCTGCCGCCTTCGGGTGCGTTGGCTGGGGGGATGCTGGGAGTTGCCCTCCCAGCCCATGTGGCTTGAGTGAAGTCGGGCCGAAGAAGGCCAGGAAGAAAGACTCCCTCTCCCCCACATTTCTTCCTAAGATGCTAGGATCTCTGCATGCAGGGAAGCCTGTTTTCCTTCCCACAGATGTAATAATCTCTGCCTGATTGTGCAGCCGAGACAAAGGGACACCCCCAGTTTGGTAGGAAGCAGGACTTTGGGCAGGCGACGCAGCCAAAGAAGAGGGCCAGAGGGAGACGATGGGACAGCCACGGGCCTCTAATCCCTGCCTCCTTGGATACAGACCAACAGCTACGGTCAGTGCTGCGTCTTCTGCAAGAGCGAGGCACGGAATTTGGTGGCATTCTCAGCATCCTTAAAACGGAACAGAAGCTTCTAGCCCTTAAGAGGGTACAGAAACCCCCAGCACAGAGATGCGGTCAAGCAAGCGACTGGAATAGACAGAATCCTAGTCTAACCAAAGTTACGATTAACTTTTTCCCATCTGACTTTATTCACATTTCTGCAAGTAGCTCTTCAAGCAAACTAGAATGCAGTTTAAGCACAGCTTCAAAACATCTAAAATAAATACATTTTCCCTCCACCTGCTCACTTTAAGGTCTGAATAATGGAAGGGAAAGCATATACTGTCATGTCTTAAAATCAAAAAGGTCTTCCAATTGAAATGATTTCTAAGTAAAGCTTTGCCTTTCGTTTAACAGTAACGTCTAAGCTACATGAAAAGCACTGTCCCGTGCAAGTTCAGCCAGAAAATGTTGAGGGGCAAAATTGTGCAGAGCTTTACCCTAACCGTTCCTTCCAGAATTCAAGCACCTTTGCACTGCCACCCGCTGTTTCTGGTTACTGGTTGGGATAAAACCCCTTTTAAACATTTGACCGGAATTGCACAATGAGGGCAACACACTTTTAAAGCTCCTGTTGAGTCCGAGCAAGATGTGATTCAGGCCCACTGGGCCGTTTTCTGAATTTCTTCAGAACCTGAGCCAAGAGCCTCCGAGCAGAAGTTCCGCTGGCGTGGCGACTCCCGGCTCCAGCTGTCCCTACCCCCAGTCCCCTGACCATACTGGGCTCAAGCGGGCCCATGGCAGGGGCAGCGGGTTAGAGGTCTCCTCCTCCAGATACTCCGTGCCGGACGTAACTCTTGTCCAGCTGCTCATGAAAAAAGCAATAAAGCAGGCCAGGCCTGACTGCATGGCACACCCCCACGTTTTTCTCCCTTCCGACGATAAGGGAGAAGGGCTGCGGTCCATGTTTTTCTTGGCTGTGACGGAGGCTGGAATAACGAATCAAAACAACCGTCCCACCTCGTCTGGGGAAGCAAGACAACCGCCGGAGTTCGAGACTAGACAGGATATTATCATCATCAACAACAATATTGTAATCAATGGACGAGACAGGTCTGTTTAGGAGGAAGGGAGAAAGAGGACAAGCATCAGGGTGGGGGAGTGTTAGAAACCCAGGGCCACGCAGGGTGGGCAAGCATGAGCGAGCCTCAGGGGAGACTCCACCGCTCTGGGAAAGGAGGATGTGAATAGCAGAACAAAGAGAAAAGCGGGATGGAGGAGCAAAAGAGGAAGCGCAGAGGGGTGGCTGAGGGAGGGGAGCCGGGGTGGGGTGGAGTGGGGAGGGTCCGTTGCCACACACAGGGGGCTGCGCTGTGAGGGGGTACCAGGTTGCTGCGGGGTGCGTGCACTGGAGAAAAGGGTCTTACGTTTTCTTTTAAGGCCAGTTCCTCTTTCTCTTTTTCGTTTGGTTGAAGGAAAGTGCTTCTGAATTAGTGAGAGAAAGACGCCTCTGAAAGTTAAGATGCAAAGTTTTATTCTGGCTGCCCTGGGAGAGCAACTTGCGACTGATGGTATTTTTTTAAAAAGGGCAGGAAAACAAAGCAGCGATATCAGACCCGCCACTGGTAGGGTCTGTCTGGGGCGTGGGCGAGCGGGAAGGCGGGTTGTCCGGCTTGAACCTGCTGTGACTGCAGGGCCACACAGCCAATCGCCCTGCTGCCCCAGGTGTGGCCTGGCAGCCCATTGGCTGTGCGGCTGTGATGTCACAGACGGTTCAAGCAGGGCGGCGGCAGGAAAAGCAGCGATTCCCTGTGCTGAGCCGACGGGGAGAGGGCTTGGCCAGGGGCGGGGCGTCTGGGGGGGCATTACGAACACCTGGTGGGCCTGTGCAGAGGGGATGGACGGGGGCTTGTGCCCCCAGAGGCAGCAGGGGATGGGTGCTCATGCGGGGGGTGGGCCGGAGTCTGGGATCTGGCACGCCCTTCTGAAAACCAGCAGGAGGCAGAGCTTGGCCTCTGTGCATGCCTCGCTTTTATTCCGGCTGCCCCAGGAGAGCAGCTTGGTATGAAAAAAGGCAGGGACATGGGAGTGTATGAGGGGCTGCATCCCTGCAGCTAAAACGGTTGTGGGGCGGAGGAGACCCAGCTGTGTGGGGCTACAACCCCGAAGCTAGCTGAGGATGGTGGGGGTTGCAACCCGGCACCGGGGAAGGCTGCCAAACACGAGGGAGGGGAAGCCAAAGGTTCAAACCGTGCCGATTGCGGTCGCAGTGCAGGCGATGGGGCCGCGTGGGGCTGCTGGGCAGGCAGCCGAGTCTCCCCCCGTCCCCAGCAGCTCCCCTGCGATGGGGGAACCCGTTGGATGGAGGAGGCCTGGATGGCAGCCAGAAGCAACTTAAAAGGGAGCTCAGCAGCATGGGTGGGGTCTGCGCACCAGGTGCTTAGGGCGGTGCTTAGGAAAGGGGGAAGGGATTGAAGGGAAGGCAAGGACCTCTGGTGGGGCGCCGGGACGTGCCCCCCCCCCCCCGCCTGCGACCCCACGCGCGAGCATGCGGAACCACGGTGGCCTTGATCCCCGTGCTCGGGAGAAGCCGGGCTGTCCTGCCGAGGCTGCCGTGGGGGTCTGTGTTTGGAGCATGCCCGGTCACAGGGCGACGTGGAGAGGGCCGGACGACCGCCTCCAAAACGCCGGGGCTTCCTTGGACACCCCACAAGCCCCCCCCCACCCCCCAGCATGTTCTCTGGAACTCACTCGGCAGCGGAAACAAAGCAGTTCAGGTGCCCCTCGTTTTCGTCCAGGACTTCCCGGGTGCGGGCCTCGCCCGTCGACTGCAGACCGATCACGATGCACTGCAGAGGGAAACCGGAGGGTTACCGGGGCTGGAGAAGCCAGCAGCCACCCCCCCCCCACCCCTGCCTGGCCACAGCCTGATAATGCAAGCAGCAGCCAAGGAAAAGGTTAAAGGCCCTTAACAGGACAGGTTGCGAGGATGCTGGTGAGGACAAGAGGAACCTCGGGTCCCGCCAGCTGCCCCTCCGGGCCACGTCCCTTTCCCCTAAGTGCCCCCTGGCGCCTCAGCCCTACAAATGTCTCTTCTCAGCCTCAGTGGGGAGCCAGAAATTAGCTCTGTTGTGCATCCCTAAAGGTCTCTGCCATAGGCAGTTTTACGGCCATCTTTTTTGCCACCAGACTCTTAAAATTTAGGGTCCCCCGTGCTTCCTCATAGTGCCAGAGTTTACCTTCTTCGTTGCCACTGCAAACCGAGCCACCCAATGTGGGATTTAAAGAGCCCCTGATTATCCACCAGGGATTTCATTTTCAATAAGGCATTTGATTCAAATGCAGCCAAACAGAAACATGCACCTCTGCTCTGCCTACGGAGGACAGATGCAAATGCTGACATCGTTTGCAGCTAAAGATAATTTTTACTCTGTGGGCAGATCAAAAGCCTTGAAGGAAAATAAGCTGGGGTGGTGATGGGGTGGGGGAAGCCTTTGGCTCCACTCACTGCTGGTATGCAGCCCCCAAGAACTTCTCCAAGGTGGACTGTGGTCCTGGGCTGGGAAGAGCGTCTGCACCACTGCTTTAACCAAAACCTGTGCTTTCGCTCCCTGCCAGTGTTTGCATGGCTTTGAACCCGTGCTCACCGCCCCCTGGAGTCTGGCCTCACCTTGTCCTTGCTCAGCTCCTCCTTGGCCAGCTCGACAAGGCGACGGACTTTCGCGGCGATGCAAAGGTACTTGAAGAAGCGCTGGTGGGCGGACCAGAACTGGCCCCACAGAGACTTCCGGGACTCTAAGCCCATCAGGTCCGCAGCTTGCTGGAAAACGACCAGAGCTTCTGCCCACTGGGGACAAGAGAAGGGGAGAGAGGGGGCTTTCTTTGACTTCCGTTCCTTGCTTGCTCTTTCGTACTGGGACGGATCTTCAGCCCAATCACAGCTGCTCTATCTTATTTATCTAATTCCTAGCCTGCCTTTCTACTAAGCAGCCGTCAACAATAAAATCCAGGTTAGAATTCTTAAGTACTCTAAAACATTGGAATGAGCTCATCTGAGAGTTGCGCCTGGCACCAACTTTGTATTCTTTTTGGGGCCAGGCAAGGACCTTTTTATTTCCCCAGCATTTTAAGCTTTATTTTCAGATATCCTGTTTTATTCTGTGCCACTGCTTCCGTGCTGAATAAGAGCAAGTGCAATTATGGCTTTGTTTGTCTAATTTCATTTGTGATGCATGTGTGTCTTTGCCACTTTTCTTAATCACCCATAGAACTCAGCTACTGGGCGGCGTAAAAAATGAATTAAATAAATACGCAAAAATGGTCAAAGCGGATCCATTAAAAATGAATCAGAAAAAGAAGGAAACAGTACCCGACTTGTTAAGGCCTCCTTTGGCAAAGGGAGCGGCTTACATGCAAATGACTTCGAGGGGACAAAATTGTGTAGCTGCATGACAGCTGAGGGGCTGTCTCGCCCGGGAGGGCCACAGCCTGGCAGCAAACATTCCCTCTCTGTCCGGCACACCCCTGGGACGGAGAAAGGGGCCTTCCCGCAAGCTCTCAAGACCCAGACAAAGCTGAGACGGGCGGCAGAGAAGTACAGGAGGCTGCAAAAAGCGGAAGAGGCACCACCACTAGGGACGCCAGCGGGACCCGGAGCAGCCAGTCCGCCACGTGCTAAAAGGCGGACACAGAAGGGGGGCTGTGAGGGACATGGGGTGGATGGTGCGCCCTCCCTGCACACTGCTAAGCGCTGAGAATTCCAGGTCACTCAGCGCACCACCCGTGAGAGACCTGAGAGCCAGAGGAGTGATTCCTAGCCCCTTTGGGAACGCGTGGTCTTCCCACATTCTGGCATCCTGGCCTGGGGCCAAAGGGAGCCTTACCAGATGTGCGGCTTTATTGTAAACGAGTTTATAAGCTGGGTCGAGGGGGATCTCCTCAATCCGGAAGGTGACCCCAGAAAAGCTGAGCTGCCGCGCGATGTACATCCCGCTCACTTTCATGTCCATGGCGACAATCTCCATGGCACCGACGCCCCTGCGAGGAGGACCGGAGAAGGAAATGAGGGCAGAGCAGGGACAGGCCTGGGATCCCGACACGGCCTGTCCTGCCGATCGCAAGGCAGCTCAGGCACAGATTTCATGAGGATGATGGGAGCTGGGAATGCCAGGCCAGGGAAGAGGGGGTTGGGGCTCTGTAGGGTAAATCCCTCCCCCCCCCCCACCGCAGTGAATTGTGCTCAGTAGAACGGTGGGCCCCTGCCACTGCTTCCCTCTGCCCACAAGCCCCCCATAAGCTATGGGATGGGCAGGGATACGACCGAAAGGGACAAAGGAATCCATGCCTTCCCCTGCACCACTGCATCCCACAAGCCTACCTCTTTTCAATGGCGTGCAGGAACTCGTCAAACGACCGGAAGGGAGTGCCGTCCCCCCAGATCCCCAGGCGGCTCATGTAGATCATATTCTTTGGCTCAGAGGCACCTGCCGGAGCGGGAAAAGCGGTCGGATGCGGCAACATTGGGGGGCAGCCTCGGCAGGGCCAGTGGTGGCCCCTTCCTTCGAAGTGCCGCCCTCTGTCAGATGCCAGCCCCCAGGGGCTTCCTTCCCTGATCTAAGGAGATTCCCCACCCGGTGCCCCTCGGGGATCTGGGACTCTCGCTCCCATCAGCCCCAGCCAAAGGGGCAAGGGCCTGTGGCCACGGGAGTGGCAGTCCACGACGCCTGGGAGAAGCACTCGGGCATCGGCTCCACCAACAGCCAGTGTGCGGAGGGACGGCGCCTGAGGCGCAAGGCGGCACCAGCCCTTGTGCCTGGGAGCCCTCGACAGACAGCCCCACCGCCCAGCTTGGGCACACACGCCCTGTCCGCCAGCCACGCGGTCACCAGAGGTGGGCGGCTTGCCCCACGTGAGCTCCCCGGAGGGTTTTGCTTCCCAGAGCCCCCTCTGGTCATTGGCGTCGCTCAGAGGTATCTTTTCTCAGCTTCACTGCCACGCAGGGAGTCACTTTTAAGTGAAGCTGCCCCCGGAGGGAAGGGCTGCAGGACCGCTTGCCACATGCTGCGAGCCCCGCAAAAGCTCTTCCCTTGCACAGGAATTAAGTGCAGAAAGAGCCTTTCCTGCTGGTTTGGGACGTTCTGCGGCAGGCTGCTGTTAACTGGGGGGGTAGGGATGACAGATGGGCCGCCTGGCGTTGCCACAGGTGGTATCTCCAATAAATCCTCTAAAGCATTTCTAAACTTACACGGATAAATCACACAGGCAGATTAGTGGCCTGTGGGTGGTGGAGGGAACTGGCCGGCCGAAGATGGGTGGGGGAACTCGAAAGCTGACCTCGGAGGAGGTCTGTGGCCCACGCAGGTCCCTCCGAGGTCTTTCAGCCTATAACTCTCGCAGTCCCTGGTTGGTGCCCTCCCCCAGAGGGGCTGGGAGGGGGCCCCGCACAAGACCCTGGACAGCTTTCACCACCGACCGGTGCTGGGGGTACCGGCCCCCCACCACAGCCCGCAAGCGACCGTCCCGGCCCCCTCTCGCCCTCGTACCCGTGGCACTGGCGTAGACCACCCTGGCGAGGGGTAGTTTATTCTGCAGGTCCAATACTGCTTTGCCCATCTTGGTGGAGCTGGCATTTTTGGCTTTGTGGCATTCGTCAAACACGATCTGAACACAGGACTCGTTAAGGAGAGGAGAGAGAAGCGGGCAGGTGGGGAGGCAACGCACAAGGGGCTGAAAGAAGCAGGGGAGGAGTGTTCTGTGGCATATATGTGGCATGCATTTTATTTTATTTAAATGATGTTTTAATAATTGCTGGTTCTATTTATTGCTTTTAAATGATTAAGCCAGGATGTTTCCAGATTTTATATGTATGCATTTGTATAGATATTTATTGATATGTTGGAAGCTGTCCTGAGGCTTATGCGAATGGGACGGCATACAAAGATTCCAAATAAATAAATAAAAATAAAAATAAAATAAATATCTCTGGGGGGCAAATTGTGAGAAAGGGGCCACACGAGGATGTCTGGACAACCCTGGAGGGCTTGTGGCAGAAGCCGGGAAAACTTTAACCTGCTTGAAAGAGGGAGAGGTGAGTCTCCACTTCACCCCCCGCCCACTCCCAAGGAGACACCTCACAGAGGTGTTGGACCAAAACTCCCACCATTCCCAGCCCACTATTAGCCAATGATGGGTACCACAGCCAGTCACATGGGGGGCACTTGGTTGGGGAGCCTGTTCCAGCCTCAAGCCTGCAGATATTCAAAAAAGCAAATAAACAAACACACTTGGAAACATGGCAAAGAGGCTTTGAAATAAGTGTGTGTTATGCGGCAAAAAGATTTCCCCCCACCCCCTTCTAATTCTGATCTCTTGCTCTGGTCTCTCAGTTTTCCAGGTTTCAGGCTTGCCCCGATAAGCCAGAACATTCTGCTGCAAACAATGAGGACTGGAAACCTGTTGTTTTAACACGCACACATACCACTGGCATTGCAGAAAGACATATTTTGCAATGGCTGCAGAGTTTCATCTCTCTTTCCACCTTGGGGTAATACAACCAAAGACCCCAGCCTGCTCTTTCTGGCTTCAAATCATTTCATAAACGTAAAAGGGCCACCATAACCCGTCTGGTTTGGGGGTGTTTTAGACCTAACGACTATTTCACATCACTTCGTATTCCTCCTTTGCAGTAAATTCTGTTCTTTTAACTGTGTATAATCTGCACAGAGAATGTCTGTTATAAGGCCGATTAAAACCGTAGCCAAGTAAGACAACAATTCTCTCTCAGGATACGACACCATTGAAATCCTCAGTGCACCAGTCCAGAATCTGCTTCAGGCGGGTTCTGTGCTGGCCGCCAGCTTGGCTTTCCCCGATCAGGGCAGAGTAAGTGGCAAACAGGACTCCTTCCGAGGTAGCTGTGTCTCCATATTTAATCTGCACCGGGGAAGAGGGGAGGCATTAGGTTAGCTGGAAGAGACGGTGGGAGCCACTCCCCGTGCGCCCAGCCGTTTTCTTTAAAGAGATAATTTCGGAAGATTTGCACACATCCTGCACTGGGGGACCACATGAATTAAGCTTCCCGAAGACTGAACCTGGGTTAACTCCTTCACACAATCTCTAAGGAAAAGCCAAGGACTGGGCGGAGATCATTCCGCAGCAGGGACCGGGGCTGCTTTTCGCCCTGAGTGCCAAATTCGATTTTGGAAAAGCCCTCTGGCCCTCCGGGGTCCTCCAGGAAGCTCCATGCCCTGGTCCCCAAGGAACACTCCTTGGGGGCCAGGGGAAAGGGAGGGGCCTCCTTTTTGCCACCGCTTTCCCCACCCTCATGAAAAGCTGAAATGCCTCCTTTAAGGTCTGGCCTCGGTCCTTTCACCTGCAGGCCTGCCCCCCCGCCCCCGGCTGGAACAGGCCCCCCACACTGGACTCAGCCCTCGAGTGGAAAAAGGACGCCATGTCGCAGAGGGACCGTTGTGACCATGGTTACTGACGCAGTCTAAACCGGCGGTGCTGACCCGCTTCTGGTCCGAGGGCCCAATTCCACCCCAGGGAAGCTCTCGGGGGCCACATCCCAGCCGTGGGCGGAGCCAAAGGACCAGGCATTTTATCTCGGGGGCCCTGCAGCCAGTAATGCGGGTTATACAGGGGCGCTGAAGGTGAGTCCACAAAGGCAGCGTTTCGCAGCAACAGCCACAGGTTGCTTCTTTTCTTGGGTGGGCGGGGGAGGGAAGGAAGAGAAAGTGCCGTACCTTGTTTAAAGCGTGGACAGGAATGTAAGCCGCGTCGATATCCTTCAGGTCCCTCTCGGCATCGTATTTGAGGTCATTTGAGGCGCTGAACCTGAAGTGGGGAAGGGGACAGAGAGGCAGGGGTGGGTGGCGGGGCACTGCGTCTTGCCTCCCTTCAAGTCCTGACCCACTTTGTAATAAACGTGAACCAGGCCGGCAGGGGGGCAGCAAATAGCTTTTATTAGTAATAACGCAGTTGACAAGCAGGGCAACAGCTGCCCCCCTCCTGCCGTGAAAGGAAGGAAGGAAGGCTTGGCAATTGTCACCCTTTGCAATCGCTCAAGCTTCCAAGCTTTATTCTTTGTGCTTGTGACTGTCCTGCTGCAGGTTTGCTATGGCATGAATTTGTTTATTTGTATTAACAAAGAAAAGCAGAGCTTGTGCTGGGGCTGGAATGCCAGGGCAGGAGCCCAGGTCCTCGTTCGGAGCCTTAAAATCCCGGGAGGTCCACTGCCCCATTCCCCAGGCGTGTGTTGAAATCCGGAGGGGGCGGGAGGGGCTGCAGCGGCCCCTCCTGGCCTAGCCAGCCTTTGGCCCACAGGGGCTTCCCCACCGAATCTTTCTGCCTGAGTTGTTTGTTTCCTCTGGAAGCAAACACCCTCCTCTCCCCGTCTGTGGGTCCCTTTTAAAAAGAGGGTGTCCTCGGGAGACACGGTCCTTTAAACTCCTCTGAAAGAGACTTGGAAGGGCAGGTAGGCTAATTTTTGCAAGTGTTTGCTGGCGGGTCCTGTTGTGCTGAGCACCATGGGACCGCTCTGTGGCTGAAATAATATCCTGCTTTCTTCCTCTTTCAAGGAACCCGACGAGGTTCTTGTGGTCGGTCTCCTCTCTGTGTCTGTCCTATCCACAGCCCTGTGGGGTAGGGGAGGTCGAGCGTCCATGACTGGCCCGAAGCCCCCCAGGGATCCACATGGCCAGTGGGGCCTAGGACTGGCTCTCCTGAGGGCCGGCCCCCGGACCGCGCCACCCGCCCGCTCCGGGTGGATGCCGGCCTGCTGGGGGGCGCAATGCACGTGCCCACTCACCACAGGGCCTTCTTCCTTCCCTTCAGGTAATTCTCAAAGATGATCCCCGCGACCGTCCGGCCTTTGCCGACCCCGGCACCGTCTCCGATGAGGAACCCTGCCCTTTGCCCGTTGGGGAGCACGACTTCATGTTGCTGAAAATCGGGAGGGAAAACGAGGTCAAGCGGGAAGTGGCCTGCCCTTCTGCACCCCATTCCAGTGCCCCCTGGAGCAGGAGAGCCCCGGAGGAGTTTGGCCGGCGGTTTCTCTGGCTTTCCGCTTCCCCTGCCGAGGTCTCAGCCCCGCCGGAGCAGCAGCCACACCTGACAAGCGTATGTTATCGCTTCCAGCTGCAGCGCGGAGAGCAACCCGTTCTCTGCAACCGTGTCGGGGAGGGAGAGGGTGTAGGTGACGTCCGGAGGGGGAACGCTGGAGAGGGTGCTTGTCTCCACCACACGGTCAGGATGCTGCTTCCCGATTTTAGCTGCGGGGAGCAGAGAAGGAGAAATCAACGCCCGTCGGCAGCTTCGGCGTCTTGCGTGGCGAGGGAGAAAGGACACGGTGCAGCCGTTGGCCTGACATCGGACACCGCTCGGTCACGAAGTGCTGGCCAGGTGAACACTTTGACCTGGTCTCTCTCCCTCTCTCTCAGGCTGACCTCATCAGGTAAAAAGGAAGCAGGGCCAAGAAGCGAACGAAGGCAAGATAAACATGCAAAAACCAATCCTGTGCGGTTCCCAGCACCTTCTGATTTGATCATCGGAACCATTTTTGTTTGTTTGTTTAAAAGGGACACTTACATTTTGTTCTTTATACATTTCTAGTTTGCCACTCTGGAATCTGCAGTGTATAAGCAGGCACGCCCCACGGGCTGAAGCAGTGGAGGAATGGAGGCAAGCGACTTCAGGTCTAGAACATGCCGCTCGAACACCAGAAATGCTCTTCTGTTGCGGCCTTCTCTGGCCTGGGGGCTTCCAGATGCTGCTATCCCAACACACCTGGAGGACACCAGACTGGGGAAGGCGGCAATCGTGTAAGGCGAGACACGGCGCACGCTTAGCCAGGAAAAGGGTGAGCTCCCCTGTCGGCTGGGAGAGACTCTTACTGGGTTTGCCTCAGGCCGGTAAGAGAAGGAACTCCCGTTTGCCACTGCTGGGGCCGCCCTGCTGCTGCCGAACATCCCTGGCTGCTTCTGGGTGACCTGCTTTAAGCAACAGATCCGCCACTGACGGGGCTTGAAAAAAAGCCCCTCAGGTGCTTTGGGATGTTGGCCAGCCCAGAGGGTATCCCGTCTCTGCATAAGGAAGCCCTCAGAGGTTGAGTGTGGCACGTTCTGCTCGAACGAGCTCTGGGAAAAATACCGGTGAGGCCAGACTTGTGCTAACCTGCTGGGTGTTTCAAGATTCCTGGAAAATCGTCCAGGGACAAAAGATCATTTTGCGCTGCTTTCCTCATTTTATTCCAGTGACTCAACTGAGGCTTCCTAGCACCAGGAAGTATCTCTCCTAGGAGGGCACAGCCAAATTCTGGTCTCCACACCTCTAAGAGGATATTTTGGGTCAGGAAACTTGGGATTAGGAAACCCCAGGCCTCTCCAGGGTGGGAGAGGGGAAGCGGGACCGTTGCGCAAGGTCCAGCTGAGGCACCACTGGCATCTGGCTCCCCGTCCCTTTTCCTTTCGTGTCAGGTCGGGGACTGTCCTGTGTTATGAGCACGTGCAAACTGCTCCATGAGGCTTTTCCACAGAGGAGCAAGATTAAGAATCCTTCGCAAACAAGCGCTTGCCCTCTTACATTTGGAAGGGACGTAATCGGCATACGTTTCGGTGTGACCCAGCTCCTCCGTTTCGTCGTCGTCACCCTCCTCCTCCTCCTCTACCTGAGTTTGGGACTGAAAGAAAGCAGAACCGGGAGAGTCACAGGTGTGACAGCGGCAACATGACGGGGGAACAGCATTCCATCTGCCGCTCTCCCAGAGATGGAGGCCTGTCATTATATTCTCTCTGGCACACCCTTCTCACGTGAGGCTTGGCATCCGTGCCGTCCCAGAGGTCCTTCTGTCTTGCCCAGCTTCGAGGGCAATCAGGTGGACAAGAATGCAAGAGAAGGCCTCTTCGGCTGCAGCCCCACACCGCTGGGATGGACCCCCCTCAGTGCGCATCAGGCCTCTCCACTTTGAGTTTCTAGGAAGGCCTTGAAAAGGGCAAACTGACCCCAATCATATTACATCAGACTGCACTGGCCTTTGATGCTTTTGGGAACACAGTTCAGCTGCATAATCTTATCTATGTTTTCTTATACGAAATCCGGCAGCGGGTAGGAGTGCTGTAAAAGCTGGCCTTGAAAAAAACAAAATTTTCTACTCTTGCTGGCAGGGGCTGCCCCAGAGTTCAGGCAAAGAAGAGTTCTTCTCTGCCGGCTTGCTCCCTGATCCCTTCGCTGTGGAGGCCGAGCCTTCTGCATGTTGCTAGAAGAGCCATTTGGAGTACCTGCTGCAATACTGTTTTCCTGGGCAGAAATACAGATTTATGTGTGCATGTGCATTGTGGTAAGCGGTGATTATTTTCCAGTAGGAGCACACAGGAAATAATGACGAAACACCCATCCCCGTGTTCTGCCCAGCCCAGGTGTGCCACCGGCATCCGATGGAGAGCCCAGTCTCCTTCCTCACCTGGATGCTTGAAAGGAGCGGGGTGTCCTGAGTGTGGAGGACATCGGGGCTCACGATTCCATCTAGGCCTTCCAGCCCTTCCAAGTCAGAAGGCGAGAGCTGAGCAGGGACGGAGAAGGAAGAAAGAATGAAAGACGAGCTTTGTGGCTGAGAGGGCCCCAGAAGAGCCATGAGGAGAGAGAACAGGGCGGGGCCCGGCCCACCCCGAGTTCTGCCAGCTGCCTCCCCACGCGAGCGCCACGGCACCCTCCACCCATGCTCCCCAGGAACTGGCGCCCCCCCGCCTGTGGCGGCAGCCAGCTTCACCATGTGCTGTGCAAGGAGCACATCCATGCGCTGGCTGTGAACGGCTCAACGGCGAACTTCATGGGGGCCAAAAGACTCCTGGAGCAGCTCGTCCCCCCCGCCCCGGCTACGGCCTAAAATGCTACGAGACAGAAGGAAAGGGAGTGGGTCTGGGCAGGGGGCTGCCTGGCCATGAAGCTCGGCTCGGCAGCCCAGGGGGATGGAAATTTATCCACCAGCTTTGGCCTACATTGCTCCTCCTTCCAGGCTGGCCTGTTCCCCCCACTTCCCCACTCCCCAGGTTCTTCTGGGGTGAGTTCAACCCCCCTCTGCTTCTCCCCCCCCCCCCCCCCAGGAAAGATGCTTCCCCGGAAGCGCTTCTCTAGGGGCAGGATTGCATAAACACCCCCTCCCCACCCGCCCCCTTTCTTGGGCGCCCCTGTCGTTGCTGGCTTCTTCCTCCTGGGCTGGGTCCCAGGGTCCAAGCCCAGGAGGGGCTGCAGGTGGCGGGCAGAGCCTCTGCCCCACATGCCGAAGGCCCAGGCCTGCCCCTGGCAGCCCCTCTGGGTCAGGCTGGGAACATTGTGCCGAAACCCGAGACCCACTGCTGCCTTCAGAGCGGACGAGGCCGGCCTCTTGCAGCGTAAATGGCGCCCCGCATGATTGTGTGGGAGCGCCTCCAGAAGCGGCCGAGGGGCACAGGCACGGGGCAAGCGCCACGGCTGAGCGGAAACCCTGAGCCGGATCTCTCCAGCCCCGGCATCACACCGGCTCTCCAACTGGGTCGCCACCCGGTATTTCAAGCCACCACCCTTGCTTCCTCCCCTGGGACAGGGCTGGTTGCCCCCACCCCCGAGGGGGGGGCAGGCTGGGGCCGTTCGCTGGGGGAGGGGAGGAGCGGCTGCTGCGGCGCTGGCTTTCCTCTTCCCTCCCCATCCCTCCCTCCTCCGTGCCTGGCACACCAACAGCCTGGTTCTCTTTCGGCAGAGGCATTTCACACAGAATACTTCCCCAGGGAGAGGGCACCCCGTGCCCAGTCATTATGGGATGGCCAGCCCTCCCAGACAGGGAGTTCGTGTGGCTGAGAGGTGTGCCCACGGCAAGCCTCTCCCAGCTGGGGGCCCCGCGGATGCTTGGGACTGCCCCGCTCACCAGCCCTGGCCAGCATGGCCAGTGGTCAGGGCGGTGGGAGCTGAAGTCCCAAACACTGGCGGAGGGGTGCCCAGCTGGAGAGGCCGCCTGCCCCAGCCCACACTGAGCAGGCCAGAGTTTGAGAAGCCTGAGCCGGAACAGCCCCCAGGCCCCTCCCTCAGTGGGCCCATGGCACTGCTGCTCTGCCTCCCCCTCCCCCTCCTCTTCCTCAGCTCTGCCTCCCCCTCCTCTTCCTCAGCTCCTCTTCATTCAGCAGAAAAGGAGCTTCCCCGCCCCACCAGCACTGCCTGGGCCAGAGCACGGGAGGACACACGCGGGAAGCCATGGGGAAGAGGAGCTGTGGCTCTGAGGATCCTTGCCAGCGGGCCCGGCCCCCGGGCCGCTGCCCAACTCGGCCAACCCTGGGCACCCTCCTGTTTTATTTGGCTATTGGCACACTTAGTATACACGATGAATGCTGTGAAACCAAAATGGTAAGTCAATAAAAAGCATAAAGAGGAGGGCGGAAAGTTGCTTCAGAATTCTTATCTTCCACGCAACACCACCTCTCCTCCCCATGAAGAAAAAAAAGTGACCATGAGATCGTCAGATTGCCAAAGTCCAGATTAATAACTGAGCTTTGCAAGGGGTGAGGTTTATCTGGCTTTAAAGCCAGGCTCAGGAATATGAGAGAGCGAGAGAGAGAGAGCGAGAGAGCAAGAGTGAGCCATTCCTGAAGCAGAAATGAGAGATGTGAAAACCAAAAGGGCCCAAATGCGATGCGATTATTTCCCTTTTTTTATTTAAAAAGAAAAAAGAAAAGCAAAGAACAAGACAGCCTCTTGCATTACTGGAAGCCTGAGTCACAATCACTGCCAGGAAGTTGGAGGGAAGCCGGGGAAGTTTTGAGTGTGTCAAAGCCAAGGGAGCGGTGTCCACAGGTAGCCTGGCCCGGATTCTTTCGCGGCCTGAGAACGCGCTGCCTCGCCACGGCCTCGAGCAGGACCGGGGGGCCTCCAGCAAGGCCCAAGCGCCATTGCACGGGGCGATGGAGGAGTGGGGAAGCAATGACTGGCGCAAGTGGAAATGAAGAGCTGCTGGCTTGCTGGTCGAAGGAGAAAAACAACGGGAAGTCAGCTGGCACCTTACGAGAAGTCGACTTTATTGTCCCCCGGCACCAAAGACCTAACGCCAGAGCGACTCTCAGCGGTTTGCGCTGCAAGAGGGCCATACGCCACTTCTCTTTAGGTTCAAAGCGGGCGTGCTGGACCTCATGTGCTTCAAGGGCTGCTTCCGCTCCAGAGCTCTCGGGGGGCCGCATGCCAGGAGGGAGGCGGAGCCAATTCAAATGGGGCAGGCCCAACCAGACCGGCCTATTTTCGGTTCACACGTCTCCCACCGGAGGAGAGGCATTTGAACCTTTGAGAACAGCGGCGAAACACACCGAGCCAGGCGGGAACAAGACCCCGGCCAGGGAAATGGAGACGGCCGAGTGAGGGATCCCGCTTCCACCTTCCCGTCCAAGGGCGTTTCCAAGCACGGGGCCGCAACTCAGACACACTCGTGCGCGCGCATCGCGAGACCGACCTCTGCTCGGTTCTGCTGCGGCGTGTTCACGTCCCAGAGTGTTGGCACGCCGCTGTTGGCAGGCAGGAATTCCTTAGCATCCGCGATATCGGAGAGGGAGTCCGCGGGGGGGGAGAAGACAGAGGTGCTGCAGAGCTCACTGACGTATGCAGAGTCCTGGAGTCGTGGAGGGGAGGGAGGGGCAACAGGGACGAGAGAGATGGCACGTCTCCAAGACCGGCTGGCACTGTGTCCCCAGAACCCTCGGAAGGAGGCTGAGCCCATCTGCAGGGGCCTGTGCCGCCGGAGCGGCCCGCCCACCGCCCACCACCCACCACCCACCTGGGGCTGGACAGAAAAGGGCTGGGGAGGATAGGAGCTGGAGTCCAACCCGCCTGCAGGTCAGTCAGAGCCTCGCAGCAGGTGGCTGTGGCTGCGGGGCCATGCGAGTGAAGGGGCTCGGTTGTTCTCCATTCACTTCTGCAGGGTGGGGTGGGAAGGGGAAGCATACGAGGAGCTTCGGGGTGGGGAAGGGCTGAATTCACCCCTCGCCCCAGGCACTGCTCGGTGCCCTGCGTCAGGAACTGAAGTCCTTCCAAAGAAATCCTCAGGATTTAACGGGAGGGACAGGAAACGGCTACTGCCTGGGAGCCTTGCTGCCCGGGCGCGTTCTGCAGAGTTCAGGGTGCTTCGGGGTCCCCGTTTGGAGAATTATAGGGTCTGTTTGGATGCCAGCCTGGATTCCACTCATTCTGGGGCCACTGGATGGCAAGGCCAGGCTGCGGGGCTTCAGTGGAAAGCCAGAATTCTCCAGAATGTGCTCACCATCCAAGCCGAGGCAGGCGGCTGTGAGTCACAGCACTTTACACCTGACCTGGGACGAGGGGCCACCAGGAAACCAGATCCCTCAGTCAACAACCGAACCTGAAGAGTCAGGTGAGCATGCTGGCCCAAGGGAGAGACAAAATGCTGTTTGCTGCAGAGCAGGCCGAGAGCTCGGTCACACCGGGAATCTCATGATATGGTTGGGGTTTTTGCAGGGTAGTGACTTTTCTGGACCTGTTTAGAAGCCCTTTTAGGAAGACTCAAGTTTGCCCTAAATGCCGTCCAGCCCAGGCCTCCTGGTCTCGTGTCCTTCAGGTGAGCTTGGACTGCAGCCCTGAACCTTCCAACATGGGCCGTGCTGCCTGGGAGCTGAAGCCTCGCAAACCACAAGTCTCCACGCGGGAGAAGCCGGGCCTGGCGCGGGGAGATCGCTCAGGTGGTTCTGGGAGAGCAGTGACTGCCCAGGAGGACAGTGAGCGTCGGTCCGGAGAACTCACAGGACTTCCTGACAGCCCATTTCGGCTCGAGCCCTGAGCGAGAAGCGGGTGAGATGAATCATTTACCTTCTGTCTCATCCTCCACTCCCGGTCACTTTCTTTGGTGACGGGCACAAAGAGCCAGAAAGGGCAGAGGTGGCGGGGAGGGTGCTGTGAGCCGGGCGGGAGCAAAGGGGCACGCGTCCTCGCCTGCTGGCCCCTTTCAACTCTCCTGCTCCGAGATGTCTACCTGCTGGACTTCATGGAAGAGTTGGAAGGAAACAAGGACAAAGACTGCTGAGCAGCCAGGGAAGTGCCGGTTTCTCCGGAGAGGAAGGGCAGGGGCTGGGAGCAAAATCCTCTCGCAAGGCAACGGCCTTCTCGGCTGCCTGGTGAACTGAGGGTTGCAAGCTACCCATACTCCTCTCCGGTCCCATAAACGGGAACAGGCGAGAGGTGGATCGGCATGGAAAGCTGGACTGGACGTGCCGTGGAACGCCGGGGATTTCTGCCTGCAGCTTATTTAAGCAGTAACAGAAATAGACAGGTACACCGGATCAAGGGGCTGGCTTTAAATCTGCAGGGGCGGGCAGCAAGAAAGGGAGAAATTATTTTTTCGTTTCACACAGAGTGGTGGCAGGCAACTTCGGGGCTCCCACACATGCCCAGGGAAGGCCGGACTTTCCTTCTATAGCTAGGTATGCATAACCCCCATGACACAGATGCAACACACACACACACACACACACTCAGAGAAAGCATTTTGCAGCACTACAATGCATAAGGAGCGCCGCACCCTACTTTTGATCTGTCTGTCCATCCAAGGCCACGCTTGGTCTTGGTGGGCACTGGAAGCCCGGGCCTGGGTGAAGGAGGCACCTGCCCGTCCGCCGATCCCTCTTAAGTGGAACCACTGAGATTTTGCGCCTGCACACTTCTGCAGCGGACTCTGAGGCGCCATGTGAAGGAGAGCTCCACAGTGTCAAACCAAGTATTAACTGGCACAGCTGGCCACCGAGGGCTCGGCTCCACGACGCAGCCTTGAAAGTCAGGCTGCAGCTCTTTAGGGTGGTCTGGTACTCCTGTCCTTGCCGTGCAGAGGGTGGGTGGGAGGGCGCTGGACACTGGCTTCCCATTAGCACTTTTGCGCTGGGAATGATGGGAGGTACAGTCCACACCCCTAAAGGGCACCTGGATGGAGCCGGCTCTCTCACATCCGGGCCCAACACAGGCTGGTGCCCAGGAAAAGGAAGCAACTATTTCAGAAGAAAAACACTGATAGCAAGAGCAGGGGACTTTGTCTGGATAAAGAAGGAACAGGGAAGTTAACACGCCACCAGATAAAAACCCAGGAGTTTCCAGAACCCTGGAAAGGAACAGTGCGCCCTATTCTGGGCACACCTCAATGTGCCAGGTGTCCCCTTCTGGATGGCTGCTCCAGCGGTCAGCTCCAGGCATCCCGCCCCACCAAGTCCCACTGAGCAGAGCCACTGCAAACAGGATGCTGCGAGGCCGGACAGGACAAACACAGGGAACTTCCTCGTATCCCGGATCAACCCATCTGTCCCACCGGGCCAGGAAACTCTGCTCTAACAGGCGGCTGGTCTGTGGCTTCAGGCAGAAGGGTCCTTTCCCACTGCCTTTTCCTGGAGATGCCGGGGACTTTCTGCACGCAAAGCTGGGTTCTTGGGTTCAGCTATGGCTGTTTGCCTCCAGATTCCAGCTCTCATGCCTCTGAATAACCGGCTGATTTAAACAGGAAGCTCTCCCAGGTGCAAAGCTGAAAGGGCTCCAACCCGGGACACCTAACAGGGAGGGGCCGGCACTGGATCAGAGGGAAGTGAAGGGGGGATGGAATGGATTGTGCTGCAGAAGGGTATGGCCGGTCGGGACCCCGGGCAGGAATGCCTTGCATGGCGATATTTCTTGCAGGTCCCAGCTTGTAAAGAGCAACTGCAACATCGTCGTCGTCTGCTAGGGCTGCTATGACTACCCAGACATACTGCTTCCGATGGTGGACAGCTAGATAACTCTGAATACTCACAAGCCAGGCACAAAGATTCCCGGGTCTGGGACCCAGAGTGCCTTCAACCCAGGAGAATCCATTTTCCTGGAGCTAATTGCAGCCGTTGCTACGCCGATCGCTTCCACAAAGTTGCCCACCTCCTTTTAAAAAGCGGCTTCAGCGAGCGGCTCGTGTCTTGTAGCAGTGAACGCCACAGTGGTGTAAATCGGGTGGTCCCTGGGGTCAGGAAACTGCAGTGCAAGGACTGCAGCACTGGGCCCATTCACACATAATGGCCGCAAATTATGAGTTAATTGATGTACAATTAATGGACCGGCTGCTTCTGGTTTGAACATGCCACTTCCAATCAGCTTGACTGAAGGTTATTTGTGAGTTAATTTAACAACTAGTCACGGGTTAACATTGTTTAATGCATGAACGCCAGATTCCTGCATTATGTGGCAACCAAGGATCAAGCTGATCAGAGGGTGCATCTTCAGATTAGAAGCAGCACAGAAATCATAGCTCTTCAGCTCGTTGACATTTATGTGCAAACTGGATCAGCAAACCGGATCTTTGAGGAATAGCCCTGCGCTAGAGTTCTCCCCAAGACCAAGAAAGTTGCCAAAAGAAGAGACTGTGTCTCAGGATGCTGGAAAAATATGTTTGTTTGTTTTCTTACTGCTACATATTTGTTCAGCATCTTCAGACACAGTCTCTCCTCTTTTGGTCATTTTTTGGCATACGCTTTCCAAGGGATTTTGCATTGTTTCCCCAGGACAGAGGCTTTCTGGTGTGCTGGGGAAGAGTCCAAATTCAGGAGGATGGGGGAGGTTGGAGAAAGGTTTAAACACTTTCCTAAAAAGGACTAGCCACCTTTTACCCACTTCAGCATCCAGATGCTCCCCACCCACTTGCTGAAGGGTCGGTGAGGAAGCCAAGTTCCCGGAAAGAAGAGCAACATTGATCACACAGCCAAAAATCTGTGAAAAACAGACTGCAGGGCTGCAAACCTCCCTTTCACTTCCCAAAGCGATTCTGCAGCAAATCGAAGTTAGCGGCCGTAGCAGTTCTACATGGAGGGGGGCTGGTGAGCAAGCTTCCTCCACCCACAGCAGCTTGCGGTGCAGTAGCCGCCGCGGCAGAGAGTTCCACCCGGCCACACGCCTGTGCTCAAACCCGGCAGTGCGCAGCGGTGCAATCAAGCCCACCAAGCTGAGCTTCTGGTACGGCAGAAACTTGACAGCCGCTTCCTGCTCTCCGGGAGGAAAAGTGACAAGGAAATGCTCGGAGCCAACTCTGCGATTCTGTTAAGGGCAAGGGAATGTGATCTTCTGGGGAAAACAGAAGGCGTCTTTCCCACTCAACATGCAATTCCAAAGCTTGCCTACTGGAGCAAGAGCTGCGACTGAAATCTAACTGGAGGCTGGCAGTTTGGTTTTATGTTTTTGCTTGAGGTTTGGGTTGCCATTTGTCACTGAGAACGGGCGCAATCTTTTTAAGAAGCTAACAAAATAAAAGGTAAAGGAAAAGGCTTCCCCGTGACATTAAAGTCCAGTCATGTCTGACTCTCGGGGGCGGTGTTCACCTCCGTTTCCTGGCCGAGGGAGCCAGCGTTTGTCCATGGACAGTCTCCGTGGGCATGTGGCCGGCATGATTAAACACTGAAGTGCACGGAACGCTGTTACCTTCCCTCCGAAGTGGTGCCTTTTAATCTCCTTGCATTGGAATGCTTTCGAACCGCAAGGCTGGCAGGAGCTGGACGGAGCAACGGGGACTCACTCCGCCTGCGGATTCGAACTGTCAACCTTTCGATCAACCAGCCCAGCGGCTCAGCGGTTTAACCCACTGCCCCACCGCATCCCTTAACAAAAGCACAGAGGGGAAAACTCTGCTTGATTTTGTTGGACAGGTCACGGTATCCCTGTCCAGTCTTTACCTGTTACATCCTTCCCTTCTTCCCATGAATATGGTGCAAGAGCTTCCTTATATTCTTGCAACTATCCTGCAAGGTAGGCAAGGCTGAGAGACCACAACAGCCGAGGATTAAACAAGGATTTCAGCTCAGGGCCTCCCACTTCAGGTCAACAGCTGTTATACTGCTGCAGCTCCAGAAAATGTGACAAGACAGTACCTGTTTGCAGAGAGCTCTGCATTTTATAGAAGGTCAGCACAGCTGGGGAACTCAGTCGGAGCAAAGGTCCACCTTGCTCAGCATTCAGCTCAGGGGATGGCCGACCAGCTGGCCACAGAACCCCCCAGCAAGAAACAAGGGCGTAGTGCTCCCCCCCCACAGCTTCCCGTGGGGAATGGGCGCATTGCGGCACCTGGCTCTAATGGTGGGGGCAGCCAGCAGCCATCAGAACCAGCAGCCATGACTGCCACCTCCACACACGTGCCCGATCTCTTTCAGAGCCATCCAAATGGGTGGCCGTCACAACATCCTGTGGAAGAGAGTTCCAAAGTTGAACGCCATGCCATGCAGAGCCTTTCCTTCCCCCTGTCGTGAATCCTCCACCATTCATTTGCATGAGATTAGAGCACGAAAAAGAAAAACCCCTTCCCTTCCCTTCCCTTCCCTTCCCTTCCCTTCCCTTCTTCCTAAACTGAACAATCTAAGCTCAGCATCCGGGTCCTCCCTTCCAGCACTTCTTCAAGCTCAGCAAAACCCCTTTTAGATTCGGTCACGAGGACCTGTACACGGAACAGCACCTTGGTCTTCTTTCCCTGCTACAACCCCAGGTCCCACAAACCAAAGGCAGGTGCAATAGACTCACCCACTGACACTGCATCTCTCTGAGCCCAGAAATTGGCTTTGGGCACCTGGAGCAAGGGAGGTTCGCAGCCCTGCCACACCAAAATCCCACGGCTGCCACAAAGCTCCTTCTTTCCAGCAGCTCAGGTGAGGGTTGCGTTCCTCAGAGCGGTTGCTCTCCAGGTGGGGCAAGGCTGAACTAAAATTTGGGGCAGCGGAGGAATTGTCTCCCCGCCACGTTAAACAGCTGAGCCCCCGAGAACTGCTCGGCGATCTGCCATGGGGAATCTGACGCCCAGCACGTTCTGCCTTTTGCACGTTTTCAGTTCACAATGTGCTGGTACCTTCCATGCACCACACACACCTGTGAAATCCTGCAGGGGCTCAGGACAAAACAGGGGTAGCCCACATTCCAGGAGGAAGAGCAGAGCCCAGGGAGAAGCTGCAAAGACAAGCCAATGCCAGTGACCCACGCAAGTGACGTTTAGAAAAAGGCAGCGGACGTACGGAAGAGCTTTGCGGGAGGGGCAGCTAAAGAGCAAGGCAAAGTTGGGGCTGAGGGAATTTATCATGCTTCGAATGCTGCGGCTGCTTCCACGGGCTTAAGCCTCTCCTGTGCACCGAGCCTAAAGCCTCGGAACTCCTCAGCACACCGAGGCTCAGCAACGGGGAGATCCTGGGTGCGAAGGCGATTAAGCCAGGGCATGAGAGGGGGCGAGGGCGAGGCTGCGCTTGGCCGTGGAGCAATTACATGGCCACAGGAGCACTAATGCCAGCAGCTTCTCAGAAGCCAGTTCAGGGAGGAAAAACTTTTCCTGACCCAGCCATTTGGAGAACTTACGGGAAAACAACCTGAATGTGCCGCTTTTTCTTTGGGACGGGACCATCAAGAACACTTTGCGAATGGGTTGTTTTTAATCGCTTTGCTCTCTCCAAACCTGTCATGGCAAAGGACAGTCACAACCTAGACCTCTCCTCTGTCAAAGTTTAGCAAATCGCCCCATCTGACAGTTCCCTGAGCCCTACAGAGCCTCCCACCAAGCAGAGCTGGTCAAAATGCCGGGAGGTCAGGGCGATGAAGTCAATGGACAGACCCTGAACCTTGGCTGTTGCAAAGGAAAAGCGTGACCTTCACACACACACACACACACACACACACACACACACACTCATACACCCCTTTTAAAAAGTTCCTTTCCCAGAGCCAATAGAAGGAAAGTGTGCGTGTGAACAGGAGAAACAGAACTGTGCACACGACCTTGTACAACGAGCACCACCACCACCCCGCGACAGAGATGCAAGTATTACCTTGAAGAGAGACGCATACTTAAGCCAGAACTGCACCTGGGACATGTTAAGCCAGCGCGGGCGGCTGGGAGAGGCGAGCCGGTCTCGGGCAAAGCGGCCAAGCGGACGTTTTCAGCACCCGAGGACGACAAGTCATGCCTCATGACAGCGTGTGGGCAGGCAGAGAGAGGGGCATGGAGACATAAAAATTGGCACTAGGGAAACGGGGAGAGCACGCGAGGAGGGGGAGGAGGAGGCGGCAAAGCAGGGAGGCTGGGAGAAAAGTGGTCCCCCCCGCCCTGCGGCACCCTCCTTTGCGATAAAACCGCCTAGCGATTGGTTTAGTCACAAAGAGGAGGGCACGCACTTCCTCTAAGTCCAGCCCGGCTGACTTTCAGGAAATGAAGCCTGCCTCGCAAGTCAGTGAAATTACTGGCAATGAGAGCAGAATTACTGTATGTCATGTAATTTAAACCACAGAACCACTGTAAACAAAGAGCAGGCTGCACAGGAGGGCTCTGGTTCGAGAGCCAGGATAACGCCGACTTCTCCCTCTCACGGGCACCCCGCTCCCGTAGCTCCTGCCTTGACGAAAAAAGTTGCATTGGAAGCTTAAAGTTAGTTTTTCCTCCTCTTTGCCAGAGGGTTGGGTGAAACATACTAAAAGCTAAATTTAGAACTGGATTCCCGAGGGCTGTTATAGAACCTCACTTTAAAAAGGAACCGACCAGGTTTCCGTTCCAACTGAAGCGACTCAAAGGACAATCTGATTGCTGTGTGTGTTTTTTCAGCGCTGTGTCACACGACTGACACTCGTCTCTCAAAAGCCAAATGTAACCTGAACACAAGTGCACAGCCACCCTGAATCAAAACCGAAAGATCGTTTCTAGATATCTCAGTAACTTGAACCAGAGCAAATCACTCATTTTCTTTTACATGTCAGGTTAAAGGTTTCTGATTTATTTATTTTTTTGGGCGGGAGAAGGATTTTGTGGCCCCAGCCAGAGTGTTTCACAAAAGATGGAAGAACAATCATCCCTGGGGAAGCTGGATGGTGTCCTTGCTCTGAACGTGCCTCGGGTTTGCAGAACATGTTTGCTCAAAAGCAGCTTTCCCCAGCATGGGGCCCTTCAGACATTCCAGACTTTAACTCCCATCAGCCCCAGCCAACAATGCCAGGGGTCTCAGCTTTGGGGAGTTTTTAAAATTCCATTTTAACATTTATATCCTACTAGTTTTGCATGCAGCCAGAGTAACACACCTTCCCAGTTTTATCCCCATCTAGACCTAAATGGGCCAACCTGGCCAGAGTCCACAAAACAGCCTCGACCTCCGGAGGCCAGGAGATGTCCGAACTGACGAGAGATGAGGGACTCTTCACACACTCAGAGGCACTCTGCTGCACGACGAGTCACGACTCCGCCCTCACAATCAGCACTACCCCTGCCTGCAGTGGGCTGGCGCGTCAAAGGAGGCGTGGTCAAGAGCGCCCCAGTCCGGTTGGCACTGGGAATGGGTGGCAGGTGGGGAAATTCCAGTAACCACCCCAGCCCAGATTGCCAAGAAAAAGGCGAAGGAGCAAAACCGGGGCTCTTCTGCAGAAGACTCGCCATGCTGCTTGGTCAAAGAGCACCCGAGATGCCTGAGGCGCTTCCCACGTGCTTTGACCCCACCCCACCCCGCCCGGCTTGAGTGGGGCATTCTTGATAAGAGACTTTGGTGGGGCTGCTGCCTCGGGGAGTTCCAACACTGTCCAAAGGGTTGTCAAGGGGAGCTCAGAACACCCCCAGGGGGAATTTCTGGGGGTGGCGTTCACAGGGCATGTTTACTGCCATTTTACTTCTCTCTCTCTCCAAATGCAATCTGCCCTCAGCCGCTGAGTGTGTGTTCCAGCTGTAAACAAAGGCGGCATTTGGGGTGAGAAGGTGCTTCGTTAAGAATTGCAACCTGGTGCTCCCTTCAGGGCTGAACCCCCAGGCGGGAGGGCTGGATGCACCATCTGCGAGGTCCCCCCACCTCCAAGCTGACAATTCTGAGCCCAGAAACAAACAGCCAGCTGGTGCTGCTGGAACGTTAAGGCAGAGGTTTGCAGCTGCATCTGGAGAGAAGCATTCCAGGGTGCTTGCAGCCCTCTGGGCATTGCTAAGACACACATGAGCCTGAGACGATTAGATTCCGGGATTAGATTCCGGGAATGGGAGCAGCCGGCAGAGAAACCAACACTGATAAAAAGATGCTTAGTTAGTGTTGCGCATCTGCAATTCACACACCTGACTGGACACAGGAAAGCTCGCATGCCTAATTCACTCAGCAGCCATTCCCCACCCCCACAGCATCAGCACAGCGCTTAGGTGCAATGTCCTTTAAAGAAAGAGAGAGAGAGAGCGAGAGAGAGCGAGAGACTCTCGTTTTGAACCAAGGCTTCACATGGTCTCTTACACAGCCTTGCAGCTTCCAGGAGCTGCAGGCCAAAACATCTGCACATCTGTTCTGCCCACCCACGACTTGCTACAACAGACTTCCCCAGATGAGTTGGATGGGAGCTTTCCCCCCAGTGGCCATGCTAGCTGAGAAGGGGGAGAGCTGCCATCCAAGACAGTGGGTAGGCCTTGCTTGTATTTATTGCAACGCAAAAAACACCTCTCTGAGGGTCCTAACTGCCTAGAACAACTCTTGTGAATGCACTAGAGGGGGGCCCCACTGAGAAGGCCCTGATGCAAGCCCCCACAGGTATTTCCTGCCCTAAAAGGCAGAGAACTCTGAACACAGGAAATCTCAGCAAGCACGGAGGTGGATACCAGAGAAAAACCATTTGGGAGATGGGCTAGAAGCGACATGCCCCTCCTTTCTGCCCCAAATTAGCCGCCGATATGACAAGTACCTTAAAGCCTTACCTGGTAAGCACTTCCTTTCCTTGGAATCATGCCGGAGCCATAACTTAAAAATTAACCGGGCTTTAAATGCTACTGAATAATTGCTCACACTCCATCAATTCTGCCTCCACCTCTTGTCTGATTGTTTCCAGTGCGACACAGTAAATACACCCATATTTCAAACCCGTGATTCGTGCCCAAAATGCAAACAATAAGACAAAAAAAAAAACTCTCTTATATAGTGCAGTTGCTCTTTAATTGAGGCCTAGCAGTGGCAGTCTTCCTGGACCATGGGCTCCAGGAGGCTGTGAGGAAAAGCACTGTGGAAGCCAGTAACTTTGCTCCTTTCTCTTCCAGATGCAAGGAGCCTGAAAAGTTGGGGCCAGGCTAGGGAACCGTTTGTACAGACAGTACATTTTGGGGAGCTCATTGCAAGTCTGCAATATCCCCTAGTTCTGATCATTTGTCCCCCAGACAAGCCAGGAAGACCAAAGCCAGAGATCTGGGAAGTGAGCTGAGGGGACAGAATCAAACGCAGTTTAAGATGAAGCACCTCTGACCACAAGTCGGGGGAAAAGATACCACTGGTTTTTCAAAATTTTTCCTCCTTTTTCTTAAGTTCATGATGTGTCATTGTTTTAATAGTTGATGTTTTACATTGTATTTTTATATGTTACATTCTACTTTTATATTTGGTAAGCCGTCCTGAGAGTTTAGGATGCTCAGGTCCTTGGTGATAGGACAGAATATAAATGTCTGTGATAAATAATAATAATAATAATAATAAACAAAAATTGAGGAAACGGGCTCAATGCTGGACAACAGTTATTTTAATTATTACTTTTTAAAAATACCCTGATAAATCGCTAAAGCGTGGGTGTTACACCTTTTACCCCTGCGGACACCGGCACAAGGGAAGAGCTACAATGCCAAAAATTCAAGCCGGCTGAAGTGAAGAGGCCCCAGTGCTCTGTATGTGTTGACACAGAAAATGGGCTACACCTCCCAGCATTCATCAGGCTGCGCAGGGTATTCACCATTCTCAGAAAAAGGGGGGGCGGATATGCTTTCCATGGAAAGTGCACTGTAGAATAGAGTATTTCTTTTAAAACAAGCATGTGACGACGGCTACTTCTTCCACTGTAAGGACAACCATCCTGCTTCAAGACTAAGCATCACCAAGATACACCACGGACCCCTGTTCCGCACGCGCACCATCATGGAAATGACCCTTCTCGGAAGCCCCAGCCATGAGACTGAGAGTCCCTGCAGGAGAGGCGCACGGACAGCCCGGTTCGACGGAGCACCGCGGCCCGGGAGGCGCACGCTGGCTCTCACCTGAGGAAAGTCTCCGTTCTTGAGGAAGAGATCGGAAAGGCCTATTGATGCATAGCTGTTTTCCGGGAACGGCACCCCGTTGAGCACTGTCCTGTAGATATCATAATATTGCCTGCCGAATGGGGAGGGGGGAGAGGGGGGAGACAAGGAGGGTGAATTTAGGCCTGCAGGAGGAGGAGGAGGAGAATGACATCAGCCACTTTGAGTCCTCTGTAAGAAGAAGACGGGATATAAACCTGATGAATAAATAAACCCTTTCCTTCCGCGACACCGAAATGGAATCTCAAAAGACTCTCTGCACCTGTTTTAAGAGGGGTTGGTATTTTAAGCTGATAGTTCTAGCAGTTTCCTGTGCTGGGTATTTAATTTTTCTTTTGTAAGTAGCCTTGAATCTTGAATCAGAGGACCCTACCCCGAGAACGAGCCCTCCTCCATCCTAGGACCTCTTCCCCAAAGAGTCACTTAGAAGTAATTAGTAGTCGAGCCAGCGATGCAACCTAAGCAATATGTATGAACACACGCCCCACACCGAGGTCTGTGCGTGGCCCCTGAGTTGGGTTCCCAGCAACCAGGTGCTGAATTGTGCAGAAGCGCTGCTGGGAACCTCCAGGTGAATTTAGGGTCAGGGGAGCCTCAGGGAACACTCCCATGCACATATAGGCAGAAATAAGTCTTGCAACCCACTCAGGCCCAAACATGACCTGCATAAAGACTGCACCCTTTATGAGTTAATTTGAGGAGGGGGGAAGTACCAAAAGACACGTCCCTTCTTGATGAAGATGCGCCTCCCTCCTTCGAAAGCATGACAGAAATGCTCTTCCGAAGCAAAAGGTTCATACCACCCTCCTATGTCTCCCTAAGTTTCCCACCTGCAACCATGAGGACCAGCAGCTTGGCCAGTGCCATTTAAAAAAGATTAAGAAGAAGAGACCGTGCCAGTCCAGTGGCCTCCTTTCCCTTCAGTATGGGCACCTGAAACAAGTACAGACCTGTCTTGTTTTTCTCGGAAAGCTGGGTGGGCGGATATATAGAAGTGCTTTCTACCCTGACCTCGGGTAACTGCAGGTTGAAGTCATGAGACACACAGAGCGACTGGCTCCTGGGTCCTGCCTCCCCCGCTGAGAGAAACCCTCTTCCATACACATTCTCTGATTCTGGTTTTACTATCAAAGCCCCAGCCCAACCCACATAACCGCCCACTCATCTTCGGGCGGATCGCTTCGTCATATTTCCAGTAAAGAGGCTGTGAACTGACATGCTGCTGACTTGGCCCGGCGAGAGGCAGCTGCGAGAGTTCTCCATAGATGCAGCAGAGTGGGGGGACATCTGCAGGGGAGCTGGAAACCCCCCCCCCAGCACTCTTGCTGGAAAGGTGCGACCACATCACAGGCTTCCTTCGGCTCAGTCTCGGGGCGAGAGGGCCGAACGAAAGGGGCTGCAGGGATGTGCCTATTTAAAAACTGTGCCGTCCCACTCTGGCTGGAAAGGAATCCAGCAGACTGACCCGGTGTTTTTTATTTTTAGTTCCCATGATCGCAAAAAGCCTCGGGTGCTGCTGCGTTGCTAGAAAGGCAAGCTAAATCAAGCAATTACACCACCGTGGCTGGCAAACCGAAGGAAAAAGGGGAAGGGGAGGAAAGGGGGAGGGAGAGGCGGCG